AGTGAGCATGGCCCAGGCTTGAGCTCACTGGAAGATTCTATTGAGGAAAAGAGCCTGAGCCCAGGCTGGGGACTGCCTGCGTGCAGGCCCATCTCCTCCGTCTCTGCTTCCTAACGTCCCTCCCAGCTGGCTTAGTCCTCTGCCCTTTCTGTCCACATTGGCCACTGCAGGAGCTTCTGTCCTCCGCACCCCTGCCCTCACTGGCTGTCGCCCTCACTTAGCACACTCGTCCCTGATGGGTGTGCTCCTGGTGGCTCTGGTGAAGCTCCTAGAGGAGCTGGGTCTTACAGTCCTAGGGGCCACGTCCCTCTCCTCTCCAGCCTGGCAGGGAGCACAGTGTCTGCCCACGTCAGGTGCTTAGCAAAGCTGGCTGATAACGCAGGAGATGGTAGATGGGTATGAGCCTGGATCGATGGCTGGGTTGTAGGGGAGACACTGAGCTAGGTCCCTCCAGTGCCTGTGAGTAAGAAAGTCCCTGCCCTCTGAGAGTTCCCTATCAAATGTGAAGAGCCCCTTTGCACACTCTCACATCAGGTGGAGGAAGAAAAGAACACTGAGTTCCAGGTGTTGCAGGGAGGAGAGACTCTACCAACTGAGGAGCCCAGAACCAGCTCTCCAGGGCCATGGGATCTGAGCTGGGCCTTGAAAGGAGACAGATAAGAAGCAATGGCATCTCCAGCTAAGGGCCCGGCTGGAGCAAGCCTGTGGAGGGGCAGCAGAGTGTGTGCGCGGGGTGAGTGGGAGGCCCAAGAAAGGAGGTGGCTCCACTGGGGAAGGGCCCGGGGGTGAGGGGCAGTGGCCCTCTGTCTCCACCTGAGTCTCCTTCCACAGATGCTTGGCAATTTCTCAGAGCTCAGCTTTTCTAGCAGCCAGAGGTCACTTTGCATGTGGATGGCAGTGAGTTCTGCCTGAGTGGCTAAGATGCGGCTCCCTTCCCGCTTCCTTTGCCATAGTGAAGGGCATCCTGCTTCAGCGACCCCTCGGGAGTTCTGCTCCCTTGAGAGGCGAATAGCTGCGCCTTCCCTTGCTCTCCCTCTTGGTTCCACATCTTGGTATGGTGTCCTCTTTTCTGAAGGTTCACAGGGAGCCTGCTCTTTGCTTTTGAAATGATGTGCAGTCTTGGGGACTTGACGTCTCGAGCTGGCTGAAAATGTGTCCAAGTCCAGGGCAAGGGGGGAGACACGCTGGGGGAGTGTGTGAGGTGGTACATGGGAGGGACACAGAGGGTTTGAGAGGAGGGGGGTGGGCGGGCCTCCCCATGCCAGTGTAGCGTCCCTGAACATTTGTGGGGCTTGGGGATTCCCGCGTGTGCCAGGTGGGCAGCGCTGTATTGCTTTCTGTCTGATACATCCTCAGTGTCGAGACCAATGTGAGAAACAACCCCTACAGCGTTCTTGCCCTAAGGAAAGCCGGCCCTGCCTACCCTACTCCTGGGTGGCGCAGGTCTACTCGAAGTTTTGTTATTCGGGGTTACATAGCACACACATGCTGCACACAGTTTTGCAAAACTAATGCCATGCATAATATTGTCACAGCGAAATAACTCTAGGTGGCGGGGGCCGTGGAATGCTTCAGCATCCACAATCCTCCCAGGAGGTGACCTGCCCAGAGGGCCTTAGGGTGTCGGAGCTGGAAAGTTTTATGGAGGTCACCCATGTCTTGCTTCTTTACTTGATGCTTGGGGAAACTGAGACCTGGAGTAAGGTGCCTAAGGCCACATTGCGAGGTAATGGTAGAGAAAGAACTAGAAGCTGAGTCTCTGGACTTGCTGGCCAGTGCCCTCTTCCTCTTACGGGCTGATGCCAACCTTCCCCAGCTCCACCCTATCCCATTCTGCCAGGGGCAGGCAGGGCTGGGGAAGGGAGGGCAGCACGGGGTGGGGCTAAGATGGGGCGGACTGAGAATGTGTGGAAGGAGCCTCCTCTTCCCTCAGCAAGGTGCGGCTTCCCTTGGCCCACGTGACCACAGCCACATAAGTCTCAGCCTTGGGGAGAGGCACCATTTGGGCCCAGAAGACCCGGTCACACTGCCAACCATGGGGTACTGGCTAGTCTTTGCAGGTGTCCAGGTGGACAATGCTGGACATGTGCCTTGCTGTGCCAGAGCACAAAGCCACATGTACTGGAACCAGAGAGTGAATCTCAGGAGATAAACGGCCTGAAGACCCAGCACCTTGCAATTTACAAAGAACTTTCACCAAATGCTCAGTGGGCAGGGCTGGGTGCCTCTCCGGTTCCCTGGGCAGGCAGTTCTCACCAAGAGGTGCTGCAAGTCCCCCAAAACAGACAGCGTGTCTTTCTCCTCTGCAAGCCCTCTGTGGCACCTGCCCCTCGGGTTGGCCTTTTCCTGGTCCCTCCTGCAACCTGCCTGCCTCTCGCATTCCATCACCACATTGTTCCTTCTGGCCTGGGTGTCCTGGTCTGCTGGGCGTTAGTACAGACTCCCAGCTACTGTGCAAACGCTTTGACCATGTGTCTCCCTACTTCTCATCTCTCTCTACTGCATCTGACACACAGCCAAGATTCAAGTGGGGAGGCTCGGGGGCAGAGGCCTGCAATCAGGAGCCTGGGGTGCAGTCTAGTGACAGGGCAGGGTCCCGGCTGAGCACGACAGCAGCCACAACCGTGTGTGCAGACAATGTGCTTACACACGCGGGACTAAGCCTCGGGGACTGCAGTCCACTGGGCAGGGCATTGTGGGCTCCGAAAACAGGGCGGAGCCTTTTTTTTTTTTTTTTCTGTGACCACCAGGTGGCATGAAGTGATGTGTGCGACCCCACCTCAGTTACGGCAAGGACCTTCGGCCATCCCCTGGGCTTCCCAGCCTCCACTGTCTCCTCTCTAATTGTAAAGTTGTCTTTACACACATTTCTATTTTATTACGTAGATTCTTGTGACTTTGAATCCTTCGTGGCAGTAGCTGAGGTGTTCTAAGTAAACGAATAACCCCAGGACTGGAACGAAAGGGGTTTCTCTGCCCAGTTACCCAGGATATTCAGCTAACACTGAATCTCCGCTTCCTGGGCTCCAGTGAATACTCTGCTCTGTTCTGAGATCATCAGTGAGCTGTGATTGCCCCGGCCAGAGCCTGAAAGGGAATCAGGCCAGGGGTTAGAAGAACTGGGTCACACCCTGATGTGCTTGGGACCTTGGCTGGGAGGGGAGGAGTGTGGCCTGGAGATGGGAACACCCGCAGTGAGGGTGACTGAATTCTAAGGGACAGAGGATTTGGGCTGGGCTGCATTATGACTTTTGGGGTTCCTGGGCAGTTTTGCCTTCCTCCATTAAAAAATAGTTATATTTTTTTAATTAAAAATATTATATCTGTATTTTTTGAGAGAGTTTTGCTCTTGTTGCCCAGGCAACAATGAGTGCAATGGCGCGATCTCGGCTCACTGCAACCTCTGCCTCCCGGGTTCAAGCAATTCTCCTGCTTCAGCCTCCAGAGTAGCTGGAATTACAGGCATGCACCACCACGCCCGGCTAATTTTGTATTTTTAGTAAAGACGGGGTTTCTCCATGTTGGTCAGGCTGGTCAAAAAACTGTATTTTACAATTGTGCTGGTAGACAAAAACAATCCTGGCTGGATTCGTTGTTATATATTCACTTTTTTCTTTTAAATGTAGAAAGGTGAAAATTAAAATAGTTTTGCAGCCTCTGAAAGTACTCTGTGGCTGCTGGAGAATCCCTGGGCTACACGGCCATGAGAGTTGGCCCGGGGCAAGAAGCATCACTGGGTTCAGATGAGCCCTGTTTGTGTCCACAGAGATCAACTCTTATTCACTACTGCGCGGCCTCACTTTTCTTTTTCTTTTTTTTAAAGGCAGGGTCAAATTTTGTTGCCCAGGCTGGAGTGCAGTGGTTCGATCATAGCTCACTGCAGCCTTGAACTCCCAGGCTCAAGCAATCCTCCCACCTCAGCCTCTGGAGTAGCTGGGACTACAGGCGAGCGCCACCAAGCTTGGCTGAATTTCGAAAAATGTTTTTGTAGAGACGAGGGTCTAGCTATGTTACCCAGACTTGGTTCACTTTTCAAATGAGGAAGCCAAGACTTAGAGGAGGAAGTTGTCCAAGTTCCAAGCTAACCTAGTGACGTTTGGAGTAAGAATGTCGATATAATCCTTTTGGGTCTGAGCTGCATGTGATTTCATCACCATGAGCGCTTGCGAGTGTGACTTCATCCCCACACATGGCAGGGGTGTGTCTAATGACTGTGAAGCCCACTAATTTAGGGTTTTGTGTGACAGCATGTGGACAGAATCTGGGGTTAAATTTCCCCTTGCGCTGTCTAAGAAGAAAGGATGTATAAAGAAAATGTAAAATGTAAACCAGATGGGGATGTACGTGAACTACTGGAGTACATTGTTTTCAGGCTTTTAGAAGTACGAATTTATGCTGTCAAACAGCTAACAATAAACCTATATGTTACACCATAGGAAAGACTTAAGTAGTCATTAAAACCAGTTTCCTGAGACCTTTTCTAAGCAATGCACTAAATATGGAAAACAATACAACCTTATTTTTTAAAAAATAAAAACCACTTCAGATTGGCCCAGCCCACGCCCAGATCTATGCATGTTTTGCGAATACCCTAGGCTGGAGTAGAGCCTCAGATGAGGCAAAGCTCCTTCAACTGCTAGTTGTGAGTGAACCCACAAACTCATAATCAGGTCAACGGCTATGATTAGCAAGAGCGGCTACTAGGGATTGTAGCTCAAAGCAAAACAAACAAACAAAAACCCACCGTAACCCAACGGAAAAGAGCAAATAGCTCCTTTGAAACCCTGGGGGCCCTTAGCATAACTGAATGCTCTCACACAGTAAGCACTGTGAGAAACTTGGGATCTGTAACAGCATACATTGCTCAACAGAGTCCCCCCTCTCCCTTTGTTGAACTTCACATTTCAAAATTTTGCTCTATATTTCTGAGGACCCCTACTTCTGGGACTTCCTGCTTTCACAGAAGAGAATGTATTTAATATAATGATTAATCAGGATCATGAATTGCCATGTTTCATTTTTTTAATAATGAAAATCCACAAGGGTTTAAAATATTCTTAGACACACCTAGCTTGGCAAATATGGACCTCTACATTTGTGTGAATTCACACGAGCTAGCCAGCACCTCAGTTCTGGCTGGCCCCCTTTGGCACCAGGACACAATAATTTATTAAGCTTCAATACTTAATAAGTGTGCACAAATATCATGCAGACATTACGACCATACTCACAAAAAGTGTATTAGAGACACAGACTTAGACGAAACATCTTGTAAACAAAAGGGAAGAGGTTGATATTTTCTGTACAAAATATGCCGGTTTTTCTTTTTTAATAATCTGTAAGAGGCATCATACTTCGGGCATTTTCAAAAAGTGAAAACTGTATAAAAATAAATATTCTATGTACAAACACACACAGGCCAATCCAAGGTTAGAGGCATCACTGCAAAACAAAAACAAAACAATGTTCTGTTAGTTTCAGTGGGTCTGCAGAGGTTTATTTCCTTTGTAGGAAGGGAGGCAAATCTTGTCCTGGGTTGGATGGGAGTTCCGGACAGGGGAACTGTGGGAACCATGAGCCCCTAGGTGGAAGAAACTGGTGACTGCCTTAGCTCCCTGAGGGCAGGAAACCAAGTTCACCTCTCTGTTCACCTTTGTGGTCACTAGAGGGCACTCTCTTTCTCTGCTGGCTTTGGAGGCCTGACCTGTAACGACTGCATCGTCCCGGATTAGACATGCTGTGAATGAATAGTCATGAAAGTCTCAAGTTGCTTCTCCAAGACATTGCAGCTCTTGGTGGTGGCTGTTCTTCCCGGCTAAGTTCAACCATTTCTATCTCCTAACCACTGGCAGCAATCATAAAGAGGAATTTTTTTTTTAGGGGGCAAGGGTTTGGAGGTCTTGTTCGACACACTTTTGACCTGCTTTTGTGGTGTTTTAACTAGATCTAGGTGGAGCTTGGTAGGAGGACGAGGACAGGCTCCAGGGACAGATTCTGGGGAGCAATCTGTCTTGAGTGTTGAACTTTTCCTTCTTGGGTTAGGGGGTGCTTTAGGTACCCGGGCAAGAAGGTGTTCAACGTTGGCCTGGGGTCTTGGTGGTTTCACCATGTTTACCCACCCCAGTGCACTAATGAGATTCAGGGCATCTTAGCACAGGGGAGCTTGTTCATCTCATCGTAAGTGTGACTCTTCTGTCACTGGAACAGGACTGGATTCGTTGAGCACAGACCTTGAACAGGTTGGAGTCCCCAGCCCCTTAATGAGGATGAACCTTGAGACAATGGTGGTGGGGCGTTGGTGAGATTTGGAGTGAGAGGCAGACGGTATGGCACAGCATAGCAGCTGCCACTATTACTGGGGACCAGGGCGGGGCTTCTGGGTTAGTTAGCAAGCAGACGGCCCCTGTCAGCCTGGGCAGCCCTGCGCTCTGGGGATCTATGGTTGAATGGGGTGATCATGTGAAAGGGCACAGCCCTGTGCTGTCAGACTGATGTAATGATGGCAAATGCCAAGGGCAGTGTGAATAAATGAACACTCATTGTCGGTAGGAACGCTGGGAGCCCAGGAGAGATTGTGCTGCAGGTCACATGTGTGTTGGCATGAAGCTCTGCCAGCTTAAATACAAGGGGAGTGGTAGAGTGGTGAGTAGCACAGCCCCTATGGGAGGCACAGTAGCATGTGAGACCAGAGTGGAAGCAGCTGAGCCGCCCTACATCTAAGACATGTCCTCATGTGTCATAAATGACCTCAGAGGAAATCTGTGAGTGTAGCTGATGTCTAAGGTAAAAACATGATCTGGAACTTCTTGGGGAAGTTCCTTGGGGGAAAGACACTATGTACAGTGAACACACAAAGCATAAAGATGTCACCTGTGTGGCTGCATGGACATTCCGCGTAGGGTCTGCTGATACCTTAAGAAGCATTTAAAAACGTTCTTTAAGAGTGTTCAGTGTATGGGATGTTTAATGGGCATCCTGCCTTTGAGACAGTGCCTTTTTGACCTATGTCTCGCTGCCTCATCTGTAGCAAGGCAGAATGGAAATTGTGGGAACTGTATGGCACTGTTGAGAATGGAGCCCCGGTGCTAATCGATGGGAAGCCTTACCTTGTTCCAGCAGCCCTGGACTGGTAAGCCGTCTTCGCCCTGCAAGGAGAAAGGAAGGCAGAGGGCTCAGACTACCTGTGACAGTCTGCCAAGTGGGCAGGACAGGGGTAACAAGGGCCACACACAGTTTGGCAGCTGATCACGATGTGGCCCACCCACTCTTGTCTATTTCTTTTCTCCACTCCAGATCAGAACTTCAGAAGGAGGTGGAAACAAATCCGGCTGTTTTCCCATTGGCTAAGCTCACATGCAGCCACAGTGCAAGGCCCATAGGGGCTGTTCTTGCCTGTGGGACCAGCAAGCAGAGATGTCCTTGTGTGCCACGAGGGAACAGGCTCTGCGCTGGCCCTGTGGAGTGCTGGCTGCTCATAGGCAAGCCACTCAGCACGAGGAGGCCTCAGTTTCCTCCTCTGTAAAACATGGGCAAGGGTGGTTGCTTGAAGTGACCTCTAAGGGCCCTCCCAGCCCTCTCATTCTCTTATTTGTCTCTCTTCCTAAGCAGAAGGAGAAGGACATGCAGACAGTTCCTCTCTGATGATCAATCCTGGGGTGGGGTGAGGGGCATGAAGGGACAGGCAGCCTCATGGGTATTGCAGCGCAGCCCTGAGATGCCTTCGGCAAGAAAACAACAGTTCCTAGCAAAGTCTTAGCCTTTGCTGGGAATTTGGGGGTGCAGTGCGGTAGCAGTGCAGGAATCAACTGCACACTGTCGGTCTCCAGTGTCGGTAACAACCATGCAGCCCATTTAGCCTCGAGATGTTCATGTTCTGCCCTCAGTGATAGAAACCTTCCTGAGTCTTCTCAGGCCCTCGTCTCCCCTCCTCACTGGCATACCTGTTGGGGGATCTAGAAATCTAGAGACCAGGTGGAGAAGGCGAGGCTGGGCCAAGGGCAGAGATCTGGTTCTCAGTCCAAGTCTGCTAGACAGGCAGGGCAGACGAGGAGATGGCCACGGGCTCCAGAAGACTGGAGCAAGCGCTCAGCCCTGAGGGAGCTTGTGGAATGCAAGTCCTCTGCTGTCCTGGTCTAATGTCATCCACCCACGCCAGGAGCTGAAACCACTCATCACCTGGCATTCAGCAGGGATTGATCCCAATATGGAGAGCCTCGGAAGTCTGGTTATCTTGTAGTAAAAATCACCATCAATAGCTACCCCTGTCCCCCAAGTCCATAATAACACAGAGGAGGAGGCAGAGTGAGAAACAACAGACACTTCTCCAGTAAAAGTAATTGAAAAATGACAGATTGATATGGGATGTTACGGAAGATAATGCCATTTTACGTGGAGAGTCAAATCAGGGTGACCTTCATTTTCCCCTCTGGGTTGGGGAGGGGATTGCACGGGGAGGTGGTGCATTCCACAGTTTCAGGGTGACCCTGTGCCCCTTCCCCAGCCTGCCATGGTGCAGTGCGACACACGTCACATGGATGCTGGGAGGGAGAGGAGCCTCTGCAGGCCTGAGCGGCATTCCCATTGGCACGTGGATGGTGGCAGCGGGTATGGACGACAGGGCAGGCAGAGAATGAAAAGTAATGTATGGTGAGGAGCAGAGAGGCCAAGGCAGCTGCTGGCAGAACTAAAGGTGCCTGGATTGTGGGAGGGGATTGTGGCTAAGGGAAGACCTGGCTGGTGCTCAAGGGAGGTGCTTGGATGGGACCAGAAAGTCCCAGATGAGAAAGGTGTCCGTGCCGGCTGCATGCGGGAAGTCTCGAATAGGAAAGGTGCATGTACAGGCTGCATTCAAGAAGTCTGGGTCGAGAAAGGTGGCTGTGCAGGCTGTATGCCTGGGGTTTGGCAGGACCGTCAGGGACAGGAAGCGTGCTGCCTGCCTGCTCGCTCTGCACTCCACTTTTGTTGCATATGCTCCTCCTAAAAGTCCCTAATGCCATTCAAGGGGCTCTACAACCACCTCTCAGGGTCACACAGCATAATTTCTTACATATTTTCCTCTTTTGTCAAAGAGAATTCCTGTGTGACCCCAGGGTAGGGATGTGAGGCCCCAAATTCTCATTTATTACTGGTATGATAAAGTAACTCTTGAACTCCAAACCTATCGGGGAAACCCGGGGAGAGCAGTAAAGTGCTCCCTTCTGCTTCTTTTGCAGTAAGAGGATCAGCCTGGAGGCTTAGACTGTCCATGCCAGAGAGGGACCAGGCAGGCAGGAATAAACTGCTACCACTTAGCCTGGGATGTGCTTGGAAGAGGGGTCCTTAGCTGTCTCCCTTCCTTCTCCTGAACTCTATTCTCAACCTTTCCATCTCTCCCAGACTCTTCAGTAAGAAGCCATCTGACCATGAAAGAAAGGGACAAGGAAGGGTCTGGTACTGTCTTTGGAGATTTAAGCAAAAAGAACAAACCCTTTAGGATCTGAAAACCTAATCTTGGACCATTGGACCATCCCCTAGTTCTTTTTTTTTTTTTTTTTTGAGACGGAGTTTCGCTCTTGTTACCCAGGCTGGAGTGCCATGGCGCGATCTCGGCTCACCGCAACCTCCGCCTCCTGGGTTCAGGCAATTCTCCTGCCTCAGCCTCCCGAGTAGCTGGGATTACACGCCCAGCTACTGTTTTGTATTTTTAGTAGGGACGGGGTTTCACCATGTTGACCAGGACGGTCTCGATCTCTTGACCTCGTGATCCACCCGCCTCGGCCTCCCAAAGTGCTGGGATTACAGGCTTGAGCCACCGCGCCCGGCCCATCCCCTAGTTCTGATAGTGTCACCTGGGCAGTGACCCATGACCCAACCTGGAAGAATAGGCAGGTGGCTCCTCCTCCACCTCACTTCTAGAGCTTCTGAGTCTATCCTGTTGGTAATCATGCCCCTCTGTCCCTCAAATCATGCGATGGAGGAGGCAGGGGATACAGGGCTGACTCAGGCATCTCATTCACACGTTTTGCTAGATGTTCAGCCAGTGCATTCTGAACTAACTGCGCTGCCTCAAGGAAAAGAAGTCATGGTTCTGAGAACTAGCCCAGAGAACCCACTTTCCTAGCTGGAGTCTCTAGCACCTTTGTCTAGAATCAGTTTGGAGACGAGGATCAGAGGCAGCCAAAGCCAGCTGCAGGGTGGGAGGGCTGCTCACGTCAGATGGATGTGCATTAGAAGTAGCTGCAGCAGGAAGCCAGGAAACATCTGGGTAACCTTCGCATGCAAGAGGGTGGCATGGCTGGGAGCCCCCAGAGTACCAGCCAAGGTGGGGTGACCCTTGGTGTCTACAGAGTGAAGAAGAGGGACGTGGAGATGGGGAGGCTGGAAAGGAGTGTGGAGGGTGGCTGGGGAAGCACGCGGTATGAATCACACACATGGGAAGCCCAAACTGGCCATGCAGGCAAGCAAGAGCGATGCCATACCAATGGGCACGGGGCATCCAGTCCGTCCAGCCCTGGTAACCCCGGCTCCCCTTTCTCTCCTTTAAAACCTCGGTGTCCCTGTTCATAAAACCAACCACGATGATTATTCAGGTAAAGGCTGGCCAGCTCCAACCACGGAGTGGAGAGGCCCAGTCCTACCCTGGCCAGGATGCAGGACCTCTGAGACGTCTACAAACAGGGGCTAAATCCCAGGTGGTCCCCCATCTCCCAAATCCAGTTTTTGTGCCCTCTTTGTGCTCTGGAGAGTTCAGCTTTGCATCTGTACAACCTGCCCCTCTCCATTAATCTCCCTGTCTTTACAGATTCACTTAGTATAAACACAGACACACTTCAATGTAGTGCGTCATAGTTACCAGAACTTTCAAATGGACTGAAAGGCACTGGAGAAACCCAGCAGATGTACGTGATCATTCACTGTTGGCTCTTTTGAGAAGGCCTCCCATGGGGTGTCTGTCTACCGATTCTGGTCTGCAGCTTTAAAGGTTTTAGCTGGATGGCTGGTGAGCGTTGGGAGACTAGGCATCAGAAGCTCTTCATCTAGCCTTGCTCTGCCCAGTTTTGAGCGTCAGTGGCCCCGAGGAGATGCTAACTCTGGTTCCTGCATCCTGACCGAGTGAGGATTCAGACAGCTTGAATGGCTGGCCCACAGAGGTGGCCACAAAACAAAGAAGGCAAATCCGTGGCTCACAAATGCTGCACTGGCTTCCAAAGCCACCCTTGAGCTAAGAGCTGAGACCTTCCCCGAAAATCCCTTTCCTAGTGGTGTCTTCACTTCCACACATCAATTGTTCTGCATCTTCAAAGGGAAAGGATTCAAAGGCAAGGGATTTAGCCCGAATTACTTGCAGCTGTGGTTATAAAGCAACTCCCAACAGCAGGCAGAATTTCACCGGTCAAATGAACAGATAGATTTTGGTAGCACTGGTGTAGACATGTGGTTCACATCTTAGTTTATTTGCCTTCTTTGTTTCCAACTTGCAAACCTCAGGGACAAAAACCAGAACAAGTGATAAACAAAAAAACATACCAACGGGCAGGGGGCATCTAATCCAGGTGCTCCTTGGTCTCCCTTATCCCCTTTAGGCCCTCTAGAGCCTTTCTTCCCCCTCTCCCCCTGGAAATAATGGTTTAGTCCGAGAAAAAAAAAACAACATCAAAACTTTAGGAACATTCATGTGTTAAGGTGAGAGACAGAAAAAGAAAAATTAAAGAGGGAAAAAGAGATGCTTTTAATTAGGATATTCTCCCCAATAGGATTTGGAGTCCATGCCTACCTCCTCCCCATCCCCAGGCCCCTGAGAATTTGGCTAAGGTGGGTGGGAGAGGGAGGGGAGGATGGCAGCAGGGCTCAGAGCTGCAGGTGGAGGGAACCCCAGACGGAAGATTTTCGTGGCCAGTTTTGCTAACACTAAGCCCAGGGTGGGTCTGTGTGGAACACAGTGGCTAGGGACCAACTTCCTTTTCTTCCAGGGTCTATTTTGAAAGGCTATGGGCTGACAACTTTTTTCCCCAATTAATGTTTATCCCTTTGACATTCTACTAGGAGGCAAGGTGATTTTGCCTGGAGCCCTGGGGTGTGTGTGAACATAGCATGTATGAGCATATGCACATATGTGCTTGTGCACATGTGTATATGTATGTATGAGTGTACCAGTATGTCCTTGTGTATATGTGTGCACGCACATGTATGAGTGTGTGTGTTGGTATGTGCTTGGGCACATGAACACGTGTGTGTTTGTATGCATGTGTCCATGTGCACACACGTGTGTGTCCTTGTGCACATATGTATGTGTGTGTCCAGGGCTCATGGATGGCCCCTGGTTCTCAGCTGGGTTCTCCTGTGCTATGTGTATCTTGCTCCATCTTTGTCAGACAGTTATTTGTATATGAATGTGTTGGTTTAAGGAATTCATTTGTTTCTGAAACATTGCAGTAAACGTCATTTTTCTAAATTGAATTCTATTTTGTATGTGTCAGAGTCCATTTAAAGAAGGGCTGTGGGGAATTCTTTTTAAAAGTGAAGCATCACCTCTTTAATGAATTTGCATTTGCATTTTTATATGTGTGTTTCCTAAAAAGGGGGTTCAGTGTGCCCGTAGGAAGTCTTCTTGGGAACTCCTCTCCTCTCTGGAGGGGGATTATCTAATGCTTGGGGACTTCAACAGTGTCGCTCCAGGGTGACTTTGAAGGCTGGGCAGCATGTTAGTCAGAACAAAAGCTTGAAGTCAGAGTTGGTTCCGACAGCAGCACGACTTTGTGAGGCTACTTCTTTGAGCCTTCGTTTCCTTACTTGTAAAATGGGTACAATAACACCTGCCTCAAAAATTTGTTCTGAGGCTGGGCGAAGTGGTTCATGTCTGTAATCCCAGCAGCTGGGGAGGCCAAGGCAGGAGGATTGCTTGAGGCCAGGAGTTCAAGGCCAGCCTGGACAACAAAGCAAGGCCCCATTTTTTCAAAGAATAAAAAAATTAAGTGTGGTGGCATGTCCCTGTAGTCCTAGCTTCTCAGGAGTCTGAGGCAGGAAGATCACTTAAGCCAAGGACAGGAATTTGAGGCAGCTGTGCACCATGATTATACCACTACACTCTAGCCTGGGCAATAGAGCAAAACTCTGCCTGAAAAAAAAAATTGTGAGGTGTTTGTGCTCATTAAATGCTTAATGATGGCACATAGTATGTACACAGAAAATGATAGCTGCTTCATAATGATGATAATAATTATGATTTCCTTCTAGCTAGTATGGGAGCCAAAGGTTGGGGTCAGAGGTTGTCATGTGCAGCGTTCCTGCAGTGGAAGGCTGCAGGGTAGAAATTCATTAGAGGAAGGCAGAGGATAAGAATATTTTTGGGTGGGTGTGGTGGCTCATGCCTGTAATCCTAGCACCTTGGGAGGCTGAGGTGGGTGGCTCACCTGAGGTCAAGAGTTTGAGACCAGTGTGGCCAGCATGGCGAAACCCTGTCTCTACTAAAATTACAAAAATTAGCCGGGTATGGTGATGGGCACTTGTAATCCCAGCTACTCGGGAGGCTGAGGCAGGAGAATTGCTTGAACCCAGGAGGCAGAGATTGCAGTGAGCTGAGATCTTGACACTGCACTCCAGCCTGGGAGACAGAGTGAGACTCTGTTTCAAACAAACAAAAGAATATTTTTGGTGTTCCTTCAGTTCTTTGGAAATTATGCAAATTTGTTGATTCCAGAGGTTGTCTTCAACCAGTGCATTATTCTAAATGAATTTTCTAAAAATGCAAATCCTTACTTAGAAATGGACATGTGTTTAAGATGACATATGTATGTGCATATTAGATGTATTTCCATCAGCCTGAAATTTTGTCTGCCAATAAGAACATCAAGCCACAAATCATCCCGAAGGGGCAGACCAGCAAAACCACTAGCTGTGTGGGTGGGGAAGCCATCTGATAAACTGTCTCAGGGTGTGGCCTCTCATTCTCTCGATCTTGAGCAGTTTTCTACTGAAGATGGGCAAATCTGCCAGAGTGGGGAATCCCAAGTCCAGGATAACCCGGGGGTAACAGTTGGCATGTTCCAGACTTTCACCTCAGGTAACGAATACTATGGGGTGTTGTGTTCTAAAAATCTGGGAAATTGCTTCAAATTGGGTGTCATTTGAGGCTACTGGAGTAGTAGCATCACCTGCAGTCTCCCTGCCTCCCACCCCCAGAGAGTGACACCAAAGAGACCCTGGCAAAGAGGGAACCCTAGTTGGTAAGGGAGAAAGGGGTGAATAAAGTCAAGGAGCAAAGGCTTCTTAAAAACGTGGGTAAGTGTATGACAGTGGACTTTGGAGGAGATGAATGGAAAGCTGGTGAGGGGGAAGGGAAAGGAAGAAGGACATGAGATGATGATGAATGTATCGGGGGGAGAAGGAGTAAAGGAAGAGGCCAAAAGAGATAGTCGAAGAGGAAGAGGTGAGGACGCAAGATGGGCTTAGGAAGCAAGACGCACGTGCACACACACATGCACACGCACCCACATACATGCACACACATGCACCCACACACATGCACATGTGTGCACTCCCTCACCCCTCACAGTTGGGCATCTCAGAGAGCAGAAGCAGCCTCACTGCATGCACGCAGACCTTTTCAGCTGGCTGGTTTGCAGGCAGCCCCACAGTAACCCCCGATTTTCCTGATGATTAAATTGCCAGATTCATGCCACCCTTTTTCCTTTGACTGATTTCTTATCCTAAAGGTGGCTCCTGGGCCAAATTCATAGAGCTACTTAGGGGAAGGGAAGCTACTTAGTGACAAGGTCAGGATATTCTTCCCACTGGTGTGTATGCTTAGAAAGCTCCTGGTTTGGGGCTCTGGGCCTTTGCCCCCCCCCCCCATGGCAAGGACCTTCCTTCCATGAACAGGAAGAGGCTCTGGGACCATCCTTTGGTGGGACATGGAGAAGAACACTTTTAAGGTTGTATCTCTGTTCACTGTGAGATAAAACAAATCTCTGGGCCAGGCACGGTGTCTCCTGGCTGTAATTCCAGCACTTTGGGAGGCTGAGGCAGGCGGATCACTTGAGGTCAGGAGTTTGAAACCAGCCTGGCCAACGTGGTGAAACCCTGTCTCTACTAAAGCTACAAAAAATTAGCTGGGCATGGTGGCACACACCTGTAATCCCAGCTACTCAGTAGGCTGTGGAAGAATCGCTGGAACCTGGGAGACGGAGGTTGCAGTGAGTGGAGATCACACCACTACACTCCAGCCTGGGAGACAGAGCAAGACTCCATCTCAAAAAACAAACAACAAAAAAGCCACCAAAAACCAAATCTCTGTTGGGGTGCACACAATGAAGCATGATGTGCACAAAGTTTGGGGGTTGCCCTATAGGGAGCCACCCTCCAAAACCCAGGTGGGGTAGGGGGATTTGAACATCTGTTGCTTTCCCTTCACAGGTGACCATGCAGCTTCTAATCAGAATGCTGTTTTGGCCCTTCTGGTGTTTACCTTGATCAAAGTGTCAATACTCTGGCATAACCCCTCTATCAACCCCCAAAACTGTCCCTGGTGGAGCAAGCACTGACTTTCTCAGACCTTTCTTCGTTTTGGAGGCGTCATTACCAAGCTCTCACATCTCCCTGCAAAGTTCTATTAGGGCTGGTGGTATAAAAAAAAGTCAGAATGGGGGCAGGGTGCAGTGGCTCATGCCTGTAATCCCAGCCCTTTGGGAGGCCGAGGTGGGCGGATCATGAGGTCAGAAGGTGGAGACCATCTGGCCAACATGGTGAAACCCCATCTCTACTAAAATACAAAACATTAGCAGGGCGTGGTGGCACGTGCTTGTAGTTCCAGCTACTCAGGAGGCTGAGGCAGGGGAATCGCTTGAGCCTGGGAGGCAGAGGTTGCAGTGAGCCGAGATCATGCCACTGCACTCCAGCCTGGTGACAGAGCAAGATACTGTTTCAAAGAAAAAATAAAAAAGGTCAGAATGGGGAGGCAAGATTGAGGGTGGACTCTTCCGGGACATTCGGACATCCTGAGAGTCAAATCCCTGGAAGGAAGAGAACAAGCCGCCCCCTGAGTTAGAAACATGCTCTCTGGGAATGAGTCCATTGGCTTTTTATGGTATGCTCAAAAGAAGGTACGTGCCACCTCACTGCTTTCTGAAGCTGACTTTTGCTAAGTGACACATTCCTAATTTGTATAAGGGATGGAGGAAAGTGTGTCAAACATCAGGAAAGGGAGGGGGATGAGAAATACTTTCCCACTGATTCCTGGGGCCTCAGTGGATGACTTGACAACCTGGGTTCCTGCAGCATCAGAGCCACCAGCCCCCGCCTCCCTCTGTGACAAGGGTACTTGTCCTGTCTCCACCTCTCCAGCAACACGGTCATCGTGCCTTGAAGGATCAATTTTGCAGCCTTCAAACTGCTCAGCGTCTCAAGCCAACTGAAAGAGTCTTAAGAAGGAGGTTTAGAAGATACTAATTGAATATAATAAAGAAAACTAAAACACGTCAGAATGACATTTGAAAGGAAGTTAGTATGCCAATGAAGAGGTGGAATGATCAAAGATTTCAGAGGCCTGAATCCTTTGATGCCACACTGAGGAAAGTCCTTCCCAGCGAGCCTTGGAGCATTGGGAAGCAGGTCTGTTTATTCTGGCGGTTTCCAGACCTGGTCTTGCCGTGGCCAGGGGTGGCGCTGCCGCTCCCTCTTGCGTACAGAAGACGGGACGAAATGAGTTGCTTTTGACCACCTGCTGGTGTAGAGCGCTTAGGAGGATGGGAGTGCTCAGTAAATAGATGTTGAATTGAAGGGAGTGGAATTCCCTCTTGCCAGATAGAAGCATAGGCGTTCTGGTACACTCCGTGTAGAAACATGGTATCAGTGGGCAAAGATCAGCCACAAGACCTGGGTTCTGCAGACCTCGTGCTCTGCCTCTAACTCTCCATGGGAACCCAGGACATGTAATCATTGTTCTGGGCCCTGTTTCTCCATCTGTTCCTTCCATTTCTTCTCCACTAAGTGCCTTGGATTTTATGACCCACCAGAAGACACACTTGGCCTCTAGGGCTTGTGCCCCCCACTCCACAGAGCCCCAAGATGGGGCAGCAGGTGAGACCCTCGAGGGGAAGCCAAAGACCCTCTCTTGGTCAGATGTAGTTAAATTCTCCCTGCTGGGCCCACATGCTGAAGGCTGTGGCAGGTGTCACACCCGTCACCTGGCTGTGGGTGCCGTGGGCATTTGGTAAGTAAGTGTGTCCTGGTGAAGATGGCAGAAACCAAAGGGACAGCAAGGGCCTGAGAAGGTGCCAGTCCTTTCAGAGCTCTGCCGACTCTTTCCAAGAGAAATACTTGCTGTAATATTTTTTTAAAAGGGTTGGCTGCTTCCAGTAGCTGTCTGCTTGTTCTTGGGGCTGGAATTTATTTTCCCTCTCGCTAGTGGCCTGGAATGCCTGGCAAAACTAAGTTTCAGAAGGCGAGGACAAGGTAGCAATGGATCTAAAATGATCATTTAGGGGCCCAATATCAGGGCAACCTAGAAAGAGCTGGACACATGGCTCTTGTAGCTGGATGGCTGGATGGCAATGCTAAGCTGGTGGCTGTCGTGGGACTCGGTCCCTTCTCGTGGTGTGGAAAAAAACATGCTTCCATTAGAGGATCAGGCCCCAGGCTCCCTGCAAACCACAGGTTAAGGCCCTCCTTGTAACGCCTTTCAATTTAGGATGGTTTATCAGGCAAAACCGTGTTTGCCAGGTTGGTCAGGAATCACCGATTGATCATTCTACCCCATCATGAAGACATTAGTAACCGGAGCCCGAGTGCGGAGTCTCAGACTCACCCGGTTTCCCTTGTCCCCAGGTGGTCCATGTAAACCCTGTGAGAGATCAGAGGAGCAAAGGCATGTTAGTGCAGAAACACAGGGCGCTCTGCAGCGCTGCCTTCCAGGCTCATAAAGCTCTCCCCGATGCCTCACTCCTCAGAGACAGGTTCAATTATTCCCATTACGCAGAAGTGGGATGGAGACGCAAACCGCTCAGAAAACTTGACCTAGAGGCGAATGGAGAATTCTGGGCAAAGCCAAGAACACAGATCCAGTTTTCTCGCCTCTGCAGCCCAGGTCCTGGCCTGTGGCTGGGCTCTCCCGAGGTCACTACCGCAGGTGACGGGTGAGTTCTGAGGATGTGCTTGCCAGGGCAAGGAGTGCTCTTAGCAGAGGGGAGTCCCCAGGGCTCTCCTGCCAGGCTCTTGCCAGACCCTCTTTCCAATATTTTAGCTAGGGGAATTTAGCACGAGGCAAGGCTGGCCCAGATGTGCATACCTGGCCAACACACACAGCCTCCAGTGGATGGGAAACTAAAGTGCGGGCTCTTGCAGGCAGACACCCAATTTCTGTAACAAAGTGGTGGGAAAGGATGCTGCATGGAAAGCCAGGTCTCCCCCGCAAGGCCCAGCTCCTCTGGGAAGCTGCTCTGCTCATGAAGCCTCTCCTTCTATCACAGGGCTCTGAATTTGATTCTGCCCCTCCGGAGGGCAGGGGCCATGGCACACTCATGGCTGAGGTCAGGCTGCACTTAACACAGTGGGAGGGGCGCTCATCCCATCACAGGGTCCGCATGGCAGAGGCCCTGGTGCCCTCACAGTGCAGTGCCCGGCAGGATGTGCTAGCCCATCACCCGTTGCCTCTTGGCAGCTTCCTCTGTCCCAGAAGTGAGAGTTCTCCCTGGGCCCTAGAGTTGTGCTGCAGACCCTGGGTGTTTCTAATGGGGGCAGGGATGGGCGGAGAGGAACCTCTGATCCCGAGACTCACAGGAAGCCCAGCTGCTCCCGTTGGTCCTGTCATCCCAGGGTCTCCTTTGCTGCCCTGAAATGGGAGAGAGAAACGCATGAATCCTCCCAGATGTGGTAACAACCTTCCTTGCCATTTTCTACTTTGGTATGAAACACAGGAGACCTCTCCAGTCCCCTCAAGAGCTCTCCAGGAAGCAAGGGCTGTGGGAAAGGTGGGTGCTGCTGATGCGAACACTACCCTGGGGAGGGGGCTCAGAAGCCCCCCTCATTCTCCCTCCAGTAGAGCCTATCCCCCAATCCTCTCCAGAATGACCCGTGGTGTGCTGCGCCTGGCTAGCCTGAGGCAGAAACAGGGAAGAAGAAAGCAGAGCAGGAAGGCAGGGGAAGAGAAAGGGAAGAGAAAGAGCTTTACTTGCTGCTTCAGAGCCTCCAGGGTCACCCCTCAGAGCAGCCTCCTGGTTTCCCCAAGCTGGTGGTCATAGAAAGACTGTACCCTCTGCAGAAGCGCCCACCCTTCCCACCTGAGACCGAGCCAGGAGGTGGGCAGATGGAGAGCACAGGGAGCTGTCCACACAGGCAGAGAACTAGATGGATGCCCACGCAGGGCCCTCCGAGCCCTTCCCAGCCCAGGGGCTGGCTGGGAAGAGCCGATATGGAAAGACACGCAGCTCCCCTGCCTCCACTCAGCCAACGTCCTCACCCTCACCCTCGGACATGCCCATTCCAGCAGGACAAGGCTGGAGGCTGCAAGTCCCGTGACACGGACATGGCCGACAGCCCTGGACAGCGACCGTGGGAGCCTGGCCTATGGCTCCGGCCTCCTGACGTCTTGCTGTCCTGCAGCAGTTGTCTAAATACCACCTGGCCCTCTGTTCCATGCAGTTTCCCTAAATTATTACAAACTTTAGGCATGTCCAGTGACAATGGCGCCCAGGGCCTTGCCAGGCTGAACCTGAGAAGGATACAAGGTGACCAGAAACTAAAGTGGAGGAAGCTCTCTAGTTCCCTTTTTCCTTTCCCTCCTTTTTTTTTTTTTTTTTTTTTTTTCCAATAGAGATGAGGTCTTGCTCTGTCTCCCAGGCTGGAGTGCAGTAGTACAGTCGTACAGTCACTGCAGCCTCAACTTCCCGGGCTCAACTGATCCTCCTGCCTCAGCCTCCCAAGTAGCTAGGACTAGAGGTGCACACCACCATGCCTGGCTAATTAAAAATTGCTTTTTTGTAGTCGGAGTGTCACTGTGTTGTCCAGGCTGGTCTCAGACTCCTGAGTGCCAGTGATCCTCTCACCCTGGCCTCCCGGAGTGCTGGAATTCCAGGAGTGAGCCAACATGCCCCACCTCTGTACCTCCTTGATCCCTCCAAGTCTCTGTCCACTCACAGCTACACAACCAGCCCTCCTGTCCCAGGCTGCTGTGAGGATGACCAGGAGAAGAGACAGAAGGAGGAAGGCATGAGGGCTGAGACCTCTAGTGTTGGGGGTCCCAGGCCTGCTCCTGCCTCCAGGCTGCCCCGGCCCCTGGCCCGCTGACACTCACCCTCTCGCCCTTTGGTCCCGCTGGGCCTGGAACTCCAATTGGTCCTGGAGTACCCTGGGGAGGGGAAGGAAAGCAGAGGTGAGGTCCTCACACGCTGGGGAGCCCTGGGCGCCCCGCCCGACACCTGGAGATGAGCAAGGTCCCAGGCCCAGTTTTCAGGGTTGGCGAGGCCAGGCTCATTCAGGGCAGTCATTCGACTGAGCTGTGATCCTCTTTGGGTTCAGGGCCTGTGGGGAAGACAGCACCTCCCCATGCCTCAGAGCCAGATTCATGGACTAAAACCCTTTTGCTTCACAACCAAGCTTGCCAAGGCTGAAAACGGTGGGAGAATGACTGCTTAGTTTTGCTCCCAGAAGCACTTGGGAGGGAGTGGACCCATCCCGGGGCAGGGGCCAGGGGCTGGCACCCTCTTTGCTGTTGCAGCTCCACATGCAGCGGGAGGGTCTTCATGCCACAGAGATGGATGCGAACGCACACACAGGGGCAGGCGAGAGAGGGTCGTTCAGCCAACGCCCACCCCACCCGCCCACCACAGACCCATAGCCCCGGCCTCAGCCTCCGGCCGGGGTCTCCTCACCCCACTGGCAGGCCTGTGAAACCAACTGGATCGAGGGGGAGTTAGGATGCCTCAATGTCTGCGCTGACACTGGCCTGGCAGGGAGGCGTGTCATGAGCTCTGCTAGCCCAGGGCTGGGGGCGCTGGGGCCATCGGAGCGCATGGCTTAGACACGGAGCATCAGGGCTTGCTCTGGCCTCATCCAACATCTTCCCAGGTTCCCAGTTCACAGCCTGGCCAGACCAAGTCTCTAGTTCAGTGTCTCCTATCGTCAGCCTCAGATGAGGACAGAAGGAGTGGGGCTGAGCTGGGGGCAGTTTCCGGTGCTCTGCATGTAGCTGTGAAAGGCGGGGCGTGACTTACTTCACAGGAGACAAAGAGGGGAGTAAGGAGTCCTCAGGGCTCCCTTAGCAACCATGAGGGAGGAAGGAAGGCTGTGCACATCTGTAAGAGCACAGAATAAAAAGGGAGGCCACGTGTGGTGGCTCACGCCTGTAATCCCAGCACTTTGGGAGGTCAAGGTCAGGAGTTCAAGACCAGTCTGGCCAACATGGCGAAGCCCTATCTCTACTAAAAATACAAAAAATTAGCTGGGCATGGTGGTGGGCACCTGTAATCCCAGCTACTTGGGAGGCTGAGGCTGGAGAATGGCTTGAACCCCAGAGGTAGAGGTTGCAGTGAGCAGAAATTGCACCGCTGCACTCCAGCCTGGGCGACACAGCGAGACTCTGTCTCAAAAAGAAAAAGAAAAAAAGGAGTCAGCTCGGGCCAATGGTTTGGCACAGGGCTGCGGAGTCACCTGGCTGGCCTTGCCTCAGAGGCCTACAAACTACTGGGTATTGGAGAAGCTCCTTAGCCTCGCCAAGTCTCAGTTTCCCCATCTGTACCACGTGTGTCTGCCTCGACTGTGCCAGGTTTCCATGCATGAATGCATGGCGAGCATTTGGTGCTGAGCCTGACCTGTAGGAAGTGCCCAGTAAATGTTAATATTGGCAGGGCAGGCTTATTTTTTCCCCCCACATTTTCCATTAAATTTAGGATACTGATTTTTTGAGGAAAATAAAGCCTCAGTTCCAGGGAGACAGAGTATATGAATTTGTACGGCTCTCCGTCTGACATAAATGGGAGAAGCCACTGAAAGGGAAGTCTTGGTTTCTGCAATTGCAGCCACAGATCATCCCTGAGCCCACCCGGGCACCTGAGACAGGTGTGCTAGGTGGGGGAGGATGGAGAGGGAGGGACTGTGGTGAGGGAGCAGAGCCATGATAATGCCTGGCAGCTGGGGCATGCTCTCTGCACGGAAGGATTTAGGGCGTGAACTCCAACAGCGCAGGGAGCTGGGGGCCTCTGAAGAAGTCTGTCATCTTGGGCAAGCCATGCCACCTCCTATTTATGAGGGCACAGAATAGGCATTCAGTAGGACAGGGCTCTCACGGGGGTCACTATTGACCCTCCTACCTCTAAAAGCTCTGGGCTTCTGCTGGTGCCAGTTTCGATGCCCCGGGCCCCCTGGGAAGATCTGTGAGCCTTGCTTCAGCGTGTCCCCTATGCTCCACATATGACCCCTGGCAAGGCATTGCCTCCCCTGAGGGTGGCTCCAGCCAGCTCACTAGAACTCCGTCTTCATACAGGCCTTGGGCAGACATGACCTTGAAAACACTCTGAAGGGCGGAGCAGGGCCTCCCTGGCTGGAAGGAGCTGGGCACACAGAGCTTTTGTGATAGCTCAGGGACTCGAGACTTGAGGACGAGTGAGCTGAACACTTTGGGAAGGTCGACCCCACGGGGTCAGGGGAGGGACCAGAAGGTGGACAGGAGGGATGTTTTCTCTGATCCTTTAGTTGTTAGTTGGAAGCAGAAGGGCCATGTGCTTTCTAGTTAAGAGTCAACGATACCTGTTTTCTGGAATCAGAAAGAACAGAGGAGAAGACCCAAGTGTGCCTTACTTGCTCTGTCATGAACCCCCTTGCTGGGTTGCAGGGTGGCTGTGGTGTCAAGGCAGTGCAAGGGTGGTTAGAATGTGTGTAAGACACAGAGCTGGGACTGGCTTCTGTGCTCCTACAGGCTACTCCTGTCCTCACCCTTAAAAGCTGTCCCCCCCCGCCCCCCACATACCCAACTGGTGGCTGCACAAGACTAGGGAGCCTCATGGGAAGACAGGAGGTGGACAGAGCTCACAGCATGACGACAACACAGCATGACGGGCACACACAGACACCGGTGTGTTTGCTGGGGAGAGGCCATGGCTCAAAGCCCCAGGGCTGGGCACCCAAGCTGGACTCAGCGTTCCTTTGAAATCAGGAGCGGTGCTGCTGCAGTGGCCTCCCACCCCACACCTGGCAGATTTGAGGTCCCTGGGTGTATTCTGTGGACAGGGGCATTCAGATGAAGGCTAGTCGTATTTGGTCAAGAGGCCAGAAGAGGCGCTTCAGAGCCTCGATGGCGCCTTTCTGGTGTCGGAGGTGGGACAAGGCATGATGCGCTGGGAAAACGAGGCCAAGTGGGACAGACAGAGGGGATCACAGGCCAGGGGTGGGGTGGGGTGGGGTAAGGGGTGATGGAGAAGTGACACTCACCGGTGGCCCAGGCCTGCCGTCCAAACCTGAAGCTCCCTGGACGAAGGGCACAGTTTGACCAAAAGAAGGGGAAGAGAGGATTGGGAGGGAGAAAAAGGGAACAACGGGGAGGGAAGAGGTGAGTAAAGCAGTGACTCTGGACAGACATAAATGCTGGTAATCAAACACAACCGGAGAAATAAGCTTGGGAGGACAGGGGATGGTATTTACATGGAAATCAACGAAAACATGGAGACACTGAAGGCGGTGGCCGGCCGCTGAGCAGGCTGAGTGGAGGTCGGTGCAGACGGCCACTTGCTCCTCCTGCCCCCGTTTCTCCTCTCTCGCTTTATTCCCTCTCAGAAACCCCTCTCCCTTCAGTGTTGTGCAGAAAGGGATACAGAAAGGAATACTTGGAGAGATGTCTTGGAATCAGAGCTGTGCGCCCATCTTTCACTGGGGAGGGGCCCCAGGTGAGGACAGTTCTTCCAGCTGCTTTGCATTCCTGTTTGGATCAGGCCATGCGGGGGTGCCCCTGAGGGTCTCAGCCTGGGTGACAGCACCCAGTTGTGAAATCTGGGTAGAAGTTGGTCTGTTTATCCTTCAGCCTGGGGGAATGAGTTGGGCCTTAGATGATATTACAAATGACACGTGACATTTCTCTGGCACTTTACAATCTGAGAGGCTCAACCCAAACTCGATCCATTTATATGCTCCCAAACAAGGGCTGTTGTGTAGGAAAAGGCTTTGGAGGCAGCGGACTGGGACAGAGGTCTAAGGCTATGCATTCCCCGGAGCAAATGAGTAGCAGATGGGAAGCTACTGAGACCCACCTGCTATCAGCACCCTCGCTTGCTCTTGCTGTCCAGTGAAACCCGTGGTGCAGGGCAGGGGGTGTGTGTAGGGGGGCTCCTGCTCCATCCCTGGGTTATTAAGCTGCCTCTGAAACTCACCCAGAAGAACCTATGGACCCTCTTCTAATGATCCCAGTGTGACAAGTCAGGGAGATGGCAGTGGCAGTACTCTGGCCGGATGAGGACTGAGTGCCTGCAGACTGCTTTTGGCCGAGCCTCAGCTTCAGGGTTTCAAATGTAGAGGGAAGTCCCCAGAAGAGGGAGGCAATGAGCTGCTTCATCACAGAAAAGGTGTTGGGTAGAAGGACTCTCTGCAGGGACTCTTCTCAGATTTAGGATCATACGATTCTGGGACCAACCTTGACTCACTGGGCTAGAGAGCAGTGGTTCTCAGCCCTGGCTGCACATTAGAATCTCCCGGGGGCAACGTTAGGTAAAACAGATGCCTGGGTCCCACCCTGTCCCAGCCCGATTCAGTCAGATTTCCAAGAGTGAGGCTTGGGGTGACGGTAAGTTTTAAAATCTCCCAGGGGATTCCAGTGTGCAGCCGGCATTGAGAACCACTTCTGCTGGGCAAATGGGGGAACACTCCAGGATGTATCTGGAGAAACAGGCTGTTACTATGTAGAATAAAATATCCAGGTGAAGCCTGGAAACAGAATTGTAGCTAAATATCCACGTACATTTAAAAAATGCAGCATTAAATCTCAGTTGTCTTGAGAGGTCTGGAGCAGAAGACACGAATTAGAGGCTCTCAGGCCATATGCGGGCCACTGAAGACATATTTTGTACGGTCTGCAGTGTTGCAAATAATTTTAATCTAATGTTAGAAAATGGAAAGATTCCACATAAAATACCAGATGTTCAGCTTCCTTTGAAAAATAGGAAGACCCAGAAATACCAGCTCCGCTTTCCTCCAAGGCAACAGTCAGCTGGGCTAAGAAGGGACGGCTCCCCTTAAGAAGGATACATGATCTCTCTAGGGCATCACAGTCCCCTCCACTCCCTAGTGTCTCCCTCAGGCTTGTGTTAGTCGTCTTGTGTGAATATGCTTGTTCTGTTGTTTACTTAAACTAAAAAAAGATTTCTCTCCATGCCTCTATCAGAAGTGGGAAAAATTAATGATAGACTAGGTACTTTGTCTCTCTTCTGGCACTTTCCTTGTTTATATTAATATTTCCTGTTTGGTCTCTGTTCCTTTTGCATTTCAACCCCTGACTGAATTCTCCAGTGTTCATCAAGGTTGTTGGGGCCCTGAGTGTGGATAAGGAGAGGTTTGTGGTTGAGTGGGGCAGGAAGCCTCTTTAATAGTAAAGAGCACTTAATCATTCTGAACACAGCTTAAGACATGGGAAAATGCCTGCTGAAGTCATCGGTTTTCTGTAGTCTGTCATGCGAATCGGCTGCTTAAATATTCCTACCTCGAATGCATTCATGAGGGTATAATTATACCTCTTGCATTTGCTGTTTGGTTGCTGTGATTGTATTAACCAGGCCTTCAAGCTCTGCCAAGCGGGGGTAACTGGGCTTCCCATTGTTTCTCTACTCTTTATGGCTACCTGGGGTGGGAGCTGGCCTTGAGCCTTCCTTCCTTGAGGACAAAGGAAGCCTGAGTGGCTGGAAGGAGCCGCTTTGCAAGGCCGTGGCCTCAGAGCAGCCTCTGGCTTGGCCGCCAACTTTGTATGTGACCTCCAGTGACCCACTGTCTTCTCCGACCATCAGTGAAATGATGAGATGGATCACTAACATCCCTTCCAGCTCTTGAAAACAAAACCAGAAGAGTGCCAACCTCAGTGCAGGGTTAGGGGACATGAAGCCCAGGCTCCAGGGAGGGTGGTGGCATGTGCTGACCTGTATACAGGTGAGGCAGCGAAGAAGCCATCAGCCCTATTCAGCCCAGCCCCATATCAGGACATGTGAACACCTTCTGAGCAGCTCCCCACCTCTGACTCGGGGCCTCTTGCTCTGGGCAGGCTGAAATCAGAGATCTCCAGGAACCCAGGAGATGAATGACCTTGGCCTGCTGGGACCACAAAGTCTGACTTTGTGCCTTTCTGCTATGACCAGTGCTTAAGAGCGGAGAGCAGGAGTTCTCTTGGGGTCCCTCTGGGAAAATGGACTGTCATGGAGACCATCTCCTTGTCCCACTGCAACCAAACCCTCCAAACTTGGCCCCTGTAAAGGCAGCAGGCTTTGATTACCTCTGAACCAGGCTCAAGCAGGGCCTGAAGCTATTCTCAGGCCACTTCCAGCCCCCCATCTTGGTACCCCTTGGGGTGGGGGAGCCTGTCTTCTTTCTTTCCCCAGCACCCAGGTGGGGCTTGGTCCAGAGGAGGAAGAGAATCAGAGCCTGGGGTCTTGCCCAGGTGGGAAAGCCAAACCACGTGGAGCTCTGGATGCTCAGACTCTGGAACCTTAGCTTTCCAGTGGCTGCCTCCCGGTCCCAGCCGACACTCCTGGCCCATCAGACCCTCCAGTCTTGCTGGGTCCGAGGTACTTACGGGCAGTCCCAGGGGACCACGGTCTCCTTTTTCTCCCTGGATGCCTTTCTCTCCTTTTGCTCCATCTAGCCCTGCTTCCCCCTGGAGGAAAGGGAGAGGGGAAGACATCACACAAGGGCATGTCCCAGGCAATCATTCTTGCATTCTGGGATCCTGGAGACTGGGGTGGCATTTGTAGAGGAGGGAGGGGCCAGAGGTGGTGGGCTGGCTATACCAAGAATCCTTGAATTCTTAGCCTACTCCTGCCTCAGTTAGTAGCCCCTGTATCCTGTGGGAGCTTTGAGAGCCCCACAGGGAAAAGGAATACCTAGGTGGCGTGAGGACAAACCCACAGGTCAGGGTTTGGCACAGGTGCCCACCTGCATGGCAGGAGAACGGGGACCTTGCAGAAACTTGCTGGCAGATGCCTGAGATGCTACCACCAGAGCCCCGAGGCTCACAACCTAGCCCAGAAGTCTCTTAAATACCACGCCATGAGGAAAGGGCCACTGTCACACCGCCAGCCTCCAGTCCCCTCATCCATTTGAAATGCTTGAGGGGAGACCAGGTGAGCCCAGTGCAGAGTCCCCCCAAGCTTGACCTGGGGAGGAGTCCCACCCCATTTCTGTCTCTCTCCTACCTATACTCAGCACGAGTGAAGGAGCTGGGGCAGGTTTGATGGGAAAAGGATTTTAACCATTGGCTAAGAATCTAGCTGTCACTTTGTGGAGTGACGGATGAGAAACTTCTGAAGACGAAGCACACCACGTGTCAATGATAGAGGCTAAAGGGAACCTAGGGCTTCATCTGCCCTGACCAGACCCCCTTGGCTGGAGTGTCACATGATGCCTTTTAGGAAAAAGTGACAGCTGGTCTCAGGTGCCCTTTCCCTCTTTTCTACTGGCATTGAGGCAGCGCCTCAGTCATATGACTTCTCCTTACCTTTGGTCCAGGAACACCTTGAAGCCCCTGCATTTGGAATAAAATAGGGCGCATTAGAACTGCATGTCTAGTTAATACAACTGGCTTGTCCACAAATCGACCACAGAAGAGCAAGGGTTCTGGGTACAGAGTGTGGTTTGGGGTCCCTGCCCATGAGAGGTAGAAGGACATGCTAAGTGGGGGTTATGCTTGGGGCTTCCTGGGGAATAGTCTGAGCAGTCTTCCCCAGCCAGCGGCTCACAGAAAATCTCTCTGTGGTTCCCATGGTTGACCCAGAGTCTCGTGAAAGGAAGATGCAGAGGTAACACAGCAAATGTTAAATACATGCAAAGTGCTTGGAACAGTGTCTGGCATCCAGTAAGTTTCAGTAAACTTTGGCTACTGTCATTCCTGCTGCTACTTCTACCGTCCGCAATAGAGGACACACAGCGCCTTGGGTACCATGAACCACGCTAGGTATGGACCAGAATCTGTTGCTTCAGGGTGCTTGGGGGCCCTCTAGGGGCAATGCACAGGGGTCCCATGGTTTCATTTCTGTAGCCAAGGAAAGCCAATCCAGTGGGGCTGGATCGCTTTCTCTCTCTCTCTTTCCCTCCCTTCTTCCCTCCCTCTCTCCCTTCCTTCCTTTCCTCTCTCTCTCTCTCTCTCTCTTTCCCTCTCCCTCTTTCCTCTTTCCAATCTAGTGGGGCTGGATCACTTTCTCTCTCCCTCCCTTCCTTCTCTCTCTTTCCCTTTCTTTTTCTTTTCTTTTGTTTTTCTTTTTTTTCTTTTTCTTCCTTCTTTTCAGGGTCTCACTCTGCTTGCCCCCAGATATGGAGTGCTTGGAGTGCAGTGGTGTGATCTTGGCTCGCTGCAGCCTCAACCTCCAGGGTCCAGGTGATTCTCCCACTTTAGCCTCCTGAGTAGCTGGGATTACAGATGTGTGCTACCACTCCCAACTAATTTTTTGTATTTTTAGTAGAGACAGGGTTTCACTATGTTGCCCGGGCTGGTCTCAAGCTTTTGGACTTAAGCGATCCACCTGCGTTGGCCTCCCAGAGTGCCAGATTGGTATCACGTGAGTGAGCCACTGTGCCAGGCCAATGGGTCACTTTGAAACGAAGAATGGGAGAAGCAGATGTTTAATGGCAAACGGTGAGGTAAATGTTGGACAGAGCTTAAAGACCAGGGACCCTGGGGCTGCCCTACTAGTCAGCTATTTCCAGGAAACCAAGCAATGCCTGGGCTCCTTGGTGCCCCCAGGATGCTGCTATTTAACATGGGAGGGACGAGGAGCAGGGAGGGGTTTGTAAACCAGAAAATCCCTCCCTGGGAGGAAGAAGTGATAGTGACTAAGGCTGAGGTTGAGTCCAGTGACTGCTATGGAGAGGGGACATAGTGGACTGAGCACTGACAAACCCTCCAAACTTACCGGAGGTCCAGGGGGCCCCTCTGGCCCTGGTGGCCCAGGAACCTAGAAGCCAAAAGGGAGCCCTGTTATACTTGAAGTGGCCCTCCCTCCTGACAGGGACTGGGTCCAGCTGGAGGCTGCAAGGCCAGAGGAGGACATGGCTGCCTACTGGAAGTCAGCCAGTGAGTGCCCAGCACAGCATCCCCCCAAAAAGCCTCAGAACAGGTCAAAGTCTCATAGCAAACTGGTGGCCTGTTCAGTGTTGAAAAAAAAAATTCCCAGGTAATTTTCCTAAAGATCTATTCTTCCAGATTTTTCTTGGAAGCAACAACCACCCCGAAGGTCTAGCAGCACTAGGCTCTTGTTCACTCATTGCAACAATTGCCTGGAGTGGAATAAGAGCTTTCCCCTCTAGGTGGAGCATGACATCTTCAGTTTACCACAGGCCCCACCATTCCCTACTGTGTTTGACCCAGAGCTCTTGCAGTCATTTGTTGCATGCCTGGCCCTTGCAGACATTTGAACTTGAGACCCTTGGCTTAGAGAAGCAGAGATTGGTGATCTGGAAGGTGAAAAGACTGAAGTGTTCCTAACGATTATCCCTCGAGTCCCCAAGGTTGGTCACAGACAAGATGGGGACTGCTGGCCTCTGTTTCCCTTGAGAGCAGATGCAGATTGTGGTAGAGGAGATTGACTGGACTGAGGATGGAGGAGCTCAGGCTATGTCCTCTATGGAGGGTGGTGCCCGTTGCATAGACTGTTCTGTCTCTGATGAGCACAGATATCCATTTGTCCACAGGTGGCCATTGCTGGCTCCTTCTGAGCTGTTCACCCCACCTCAGCTTCAGGGCTTTCCTTAGGTGTCTCATCTTCTCAGGGGTGGAATTCCCTGGAGTGTGGCCAGGGCAGTGACTCCCCTGGCAGGCCATGACAGAGGGCACCCCTACACTGGGCAGAGAGGAGGCTCCTGGACCTGTGGACTTTTCTGCTCCATCACAGTCTCCTTGTGGGGAACACAGTCTTTGGAAGCTCTGCCTTCTTAAACAAAAGCTTACCATTTTTTAATGAAAGTTTACCGTTTTAATTCTTATTATAAGTAAGTGGTTTACGTATCCTAATCATGGTATTGGTTAGACAAATCTCTACATGTATTCACATTCACGGAACTGGCCACACTCCTGAAGAAGTCAGTTTTCCTGTGTGGCAATTTAAAAAATGATTAAAAGGTTTCAGATATTTAAACACTTTTTTGGTGTATCAGAAGTGCTTGAATATATGTATATACTTTTGATATTCACATATAATATGTAATTATATGTACATATATGTATATGCTTATGATTTCAAATATATACAGAATTTGGTTTTCTACTCTTTTTCACTTAATGTGAAACTGATTTTTCCATTTTTTTTATATGTCCCCCACCAGCTTCCTGGTAATGGTGCTGTGCTATTCGTTGAGTGGAATGAAAATGAGTCGTTACACAGCCAGGACGTCGGAAAAGCGCTCAGGTGGGTGACTATTATTACTATTAGTATTATTACTGTACATTATTTAATCCTTTCCTTCTTGATAGAAATGTAGACTGTTTCTAATTTTTATTTTAAATACTTCTGGGAGGGACAGTGTGTGTAGAATGCTTTTCCTGGATGCAAATCATTTCTTTAGGAGGCTATCCATTTCTAAACAAGTACCGCACGCATTGTAACAAGCATCGGGTCTGTTTCACTAAATTCAGACAGGGCGTGGCAAGGTGAACCCCGCTGGGGACTGAGAAGGTTTGGGGTCTCTCTATGGGTCTGAGGTGCTACTTGGGTGCCCAGACCCTTCCATCAAACATCCTGCATTGCATGCATCATTGATCTCTGTTGCTTTCTTGGTTCTTGCCCCTAAGCCTACAAAATATGGCTGATTCTCTGCTGTCTTTTGAAAACCTTGCCACCATCCTGACTACTTCTTACCCAGCTGTTCTGTCTTCTCTTCCTTTCACCACCTCACATCTTCTCAAAAGAATAATCCCTCTCTCGCTCTGGAAAGCCTACCTCTGAAACTCTGTGGCAAACTCCTACAAAGTCATCAAGACCCTGCCCACATAGACTTCTTTTGGGATGCTTGCCTGATGTCCTAAGTTGCTCCCATGCTAGTGCTCATTACGGGGTACTGTGAGCTGTGGAGGGATGGTTCTGCTTATTTTCTTTCTTTTCTTTTTTGTTTGTTCTGAGGCAGGTTTTACAGGTGCCTGCCACCACGCCTAACTAATTTTGTATTTTTAGTAGAGACAGGGTTTCACCGTGTTGGCCAGGCTGGTCTCAAACTCCTGACCTCAGGTGGATTTGCCTGCCTCAGCCTCCCAAAGTGCTGGGATTACAGGCGTGAGGCACCGTGTCTGGCAAGTTGTTTATTTTCGTATCTCCAGCCTCTAGCACCAGGATGGAAGCATGGGAGATGCTCTGTGAAGGTTAGTGAGAGACGTGGTTAATGGGAAGATTGGAGCAGTCCCAAGGCTCAGTGCCTGACCCACGGCGGTGCTCAGTAAACGTGAATGTCAGACACTTGCAAGCCGCATTCTAAAGCACAGAAATACTGTGCATTCTGCAGAGACTGTCATTTGATGAGTCTCTTTCAAATTATGTCCCATGTGCCTCTGCTCCTGGATTGCCCTTCTCCCCGGCTTCTCCTTTCTCTCCCTGTGGGCACAAAACACCACTGCATGAATGCCAGTCCTTGGGAAAGCCTGGGCACAGATGCACCCTCAGATCTGTGACAAACTGGACTGGGACTTGACTGGCCTAGGTGTCAGTGAAGAACACCGTGGAGGATGTGGAGGTGTCAGCCTGTGGGACAGAAGACTGGGCAGGGACTATCATCAGTGTCTTAAAGAATCTGAGGCTCTAGCACAGGGGAGAAGAGGCTGATACTCTCTATGGACTATGCAGTGGACAGGCCTTAGGGTGACCTGTGACTTGTTTCTTGGCTGTGGAGTAAGGCACGTGACAAAAGTGATGGGACCTCACTTCTATGATGATGTCACAGATTACAACATATGTGACATACAGATGGTGACATGTGAGATTGTTACAAATGTTACATGAACACACATGCACACAGCTCTGTCTTGCTAGCACTAGATGCTAGAGAGACCTTCCCTCTGGCCTTGACCTTGAAGAAGCCAGTTGCTGTACTGTGAACTGTGGTGGGGGTTGGGGTGGGGCGCACATGGCAGGAACTGTAGGTGGCCTCTAGGAGGTGAGTTCTGTTCCAGCAAGGAACTGGATTCTGTCAGTGCCAGTGAGCTTGGAAGGGGATCCCTAGCTCCAGATGAGAATGCAGTTGGCTGACACATTAATTGCAGTCTCATGAGACCACAGGCAGGGGACCCAACTAGAATGTGCCTGAACTCCTGACCCACAGAAACTGTGTGCCAATATATGCGTATTGTCTTAAGCTGCTACCTTTGCAGTGATTAGTCATGCAGCAGTAGATAATGAATATGGCACCAGGGGCCAGAGCTTCTGAGGGGTCAACCGGGGGAGGCTGACAGGGGAGCTTCCACACCACATCCAGGAGTGCCCTCTCCATCCTGGGCCTGCTCCACGGTGCAGTGGACAGGTCGGGAGGCAGTGCGCGGCTTGCTTGTGCCGACTGAGTGAGGGAGTCCTGCACTGGGTCAGACTTGGGACTGGTGGACTTCTGAGGCTCTTTCTACTTCTTAGAGGAGAATTCTGAGCCTAAGATTCTAGTGCCTTCGAAATAGGTTGGTGCTTCTAGAGGCCATCAGACGGTGAGTCAAGGAAGCTGCAACCTCTGTTCACACTCAAATGCAGTAGCAGATCCATGTTTAAGAGGATCCCCCTCAACCCAGGCTGGGTAGCCAGACTTGGGGTCAGGGCAGCCTTGTCACAGTGCCAGGTACCCGCTAGGCTGGTGGCCCCAGGGAGGACCCTCATCGGTGGCTGCCTGCAGACAACCTGGACACCCAGCCCTCTGGCCTCACTGTAAATCCCAGGGGCCCAGCTGGATTAGGCAATCCTGCCACTCTGGGTGTGCCTTGGCCACCACGTTCTCCTTTTCTCCCCAGCTGGGAGGTCTAGACCCTACAGATTGACAACAGTCTCTGTTAGTGGAGCTCACGGTGGCCTTGCTGAGTGTCTGTGAGCAACTGTGGCATGCACACGATGTGGCTCTCTTGCTCCAAGGGTAGGTGTCTAGGATGGCACCCATTTCACAGATGGAAACCACTGAGACCCAGAGAAGGCTCCCGAGTCAAGTACGCAGCCTAGTGGACTGGGCGAAGGCCCCATTTCTGTACATGCAACCTCTCCTGGGTATAGGGCTTCTGCACACTTTCCGAAGAGGCAGCTTTAAACCATGACTTGATCTCTTTCCCAACAATTCAGTGAGATATCCAGGGAAGACGCTATTATTGCCATTTTAGAGATGAGGAGATGGGGGCTCTGCAAGGCTCTGTGGCTTTCCCAAGGATACAGATGACAGAGCAGGACTCAGGTCTCCTGAGTCGGGAAACGGGCCTTCATAAAGTGAGTGACTTGAGGGAAAGCCGAGTGAATCCCCCACCCCTAAGTCCTGGCCCCCGGTTTCTAGTCGAGGCAGCCGCTGGCTGGCACCATGCAAAGTGCAAAGCCCTGCAAAGCTGGTGTCATGCTTGGGAGTGGTGTATGCACGGAAGGGCAGTCAGCCCTGCCACTCACCGGCAAGCCCGCTTGTCCTGTCTCCCCTTTCTCCCCCTTCTCTCCTGGGCTCCCTGGGTTCCCGTTTTCTCCCTTCATTCCTGGAGGTCCATCCTTTCCTGGGGGGCCTTGGGGACCAGGAGGGCCCACGTCTCCTGGCTTACCGCGAGGTCCCTTTAGAAAATACCAACAATGCTTCTTAGACACATTAATGGAGAAAAGAGGAGAGAGGGAGAGAGAAAAGTCCAAAGGCCTTGGCTCTTGGTGTTTGATGGGGGCAGGCACAGAGAGCTCAGCCGGGATCTGCCTGGCTCCTCGTGGGTCTTGCAGGGTGGGCCCCTCTCCCCGCCCCTGCCCATCTCCCCGTGCCCACTGGGCTCACGCCAGGGCCGGATCGAGAGCCTTCCTGCCCCCAGGGCCAGGACCGTCTTCAGAGTTTTGACTGGAGGATGTCTGTTCATACCTTTTCCCCATCGTGTCCGGGAGGGCCTGGCAGTCCAATCTCCCCCTGTAGCCAGAACAACTAAAGGTGACTCTCCAGGCAGAGACCGTAGCGGCCACCAGTTACGGCGTTGCGGAGCGCGCCCAGCGTCCCTCTCCGCACTTCCCCGTAGAGTTTGCTCATTTAGTTCTCACCGTGTTCCTGGGAGGTATTAACTTGCATTGCCTCTCTTCTACAGACAGGACCCCAAAGCACAGAGCGATGTGCCTGGGGCCCACAGTGAGTGAACTTGGGGAGCCAGCTTCCCAGTCCAGGCGCTCTAGCTCCATGTCCACGTTTTAGCCACAACCCTGCACTACTGCCTTTGAGAGCCCTGGGCTTCCCGGGCTCTCACAGGCAGAAGGGTTGTCGCCTTCAGGTCTCCTCTGAAGGCAGAACCCCTGCTCTGGCTGCTCCACAGGAGCTCCCTTCCTCTTCACGCACACCAAGCCCCTTCTTTGGGTCGGGTGGAGAGTTAAGGGAGGTGGCAAAATGATGTAGGTCCCCTACCCAGAGAAGCAGAGGAAAGGGCAGAGAATTCTGCCTGCTAGATCAGGGGAGGCTTCAAGGAAGAGGTGGTCTTTGAATTGGGCTTGAAAGATGAGAAGGGCTTTGAAAGAAAGGGAAGGGGGAAAGAGACTTTCAGGGGAGAGGATCTCATGCGTGGGAGACAGAGGGGCAGACCTTCTGAGAAAAACACAGAGGTGGGTTGAGTGGAAGAGGAAAGCAAGGGCAGGAAGCCAGGGAGGAGGGTGGGGGAGAGGCTCAAACGCTCAGGTCCCTGATGGTGCCTTCACTCCTGCTGTGGGTCTGGCTGAAGCAAGGGGCAGGGATGTGTCTAGACCCAAGCCCCACGGCATCAGAAGGCTCCGCGAATTACAGGAGCCCAAGCAGATGGCAAGGGGAGGACAGAAGGGCCACAGCGGCTGGGAGGCGGGTGGGCGGGGCCCTCGGGGTCTTGGAGCAGGAGGAGGGTGGTGGTGCTGGGAAGGTGAGAGAGTCCCAGGCTGAGGGGAAGCCCTGGGGTCGCTGCCCTTGCAAGGTCTTCACCGCCTTTGTCAAGACAAGATTTACCTTCTGGCCTGGAATCCCTGGAGCTCCAGGTGGGCCGATTTGCCCAGGAAGACCAGGAGGCCCCTAGGAAAGACACATGGAAGAACTGTCCCACCGAGGAGGGTGGCCTGTCCCCAGGGGGCTGTGTGTGGAGGCTGGCTTGTAGAGATAAGGTGTTTTCGAGCATCTCTCCAGTGATGGAAACATATTTTTTGCAAAGAAAGTAACATGGGGAAACCCAAAATGCAAAACATACAAGCAGCAAGTGTGACTGGGTTGAAGTGGGGGTGGGTTTGGAGAGCCACGCCCAATGCCCTCTCCCTCTCCTTCTCTCTAGGGTACCTCTGGCAGCCCTTTGGGCTCCAAGAAACTAAGTCTGACCTTCCTGAATGACGACTTAAACGTATCTCCAGGAAACAACCCAAATGCCCATCAACAGGGGAATGCGTGGTACATCCATGCAATGAAATACTACTCAGCAGAGAAAAAGAGCCAAGTGCTGGTGGCACAGGTGCATCTCAGAGACACTCTGCTGAGCAAAGGCAGTCAGACACAGGTGACTGCATACCGTATGATTCCAGTTAAATGAAACTCTGGGAGAGACAAAAGACACATCTAATCTGCAGTGACAGAAGTGATGGCAGAGCAGTGGTGACCTGGGGCTGGGAAGGACTCCCAAGGTGCATGAAGGAACTTTTTCTAGAGTGATTGGTGGTGGATACTTGGGTATTTACACTTACCAAAACTCATCAAACTCTACACCTAAAATTAGTACCTTTTATTAGGTATAAGTTACACCTCGAGGTTGATTTTAAAAGAAAAAATGTTTCTGGGAAAGTTTTATTTCCAATAGCTATTTCACATTATTATCATTAAGGCAGAGTCTTACTCTGTCAGCCAGGCTGGAGTGCAGTGGTGCGATCTCAACTCACTGCAAGCTCCGCCTCCTGGGTTCAAGTGATTCTCATGCCTCAGCCTCCTGAGTATCTGGGATTACAGCACCTGTCACCACGCCTGGCTGATTTTTGTATTTTTAGTAGAGACGGGGTTTCACCATGTTGGCCAGGCTTGTCTTGAACTCCTGACCTCAAGTGATCCACCCACGTCAGTATCCCAAAATGCTGGGATTACAGGCGTGAGCCACTGCACCCTGCCAAATAATGTATTTCCATGACTCAAAATGAAACTCATTGATTCCAGAACCATGTCGTTGATAGCAATTTCTGGATTGGGATATCATACAAGTCGTGTTTGATTGTGAGCTTGTGCCATCCCTTAATGTGTTCGGTAACTCTTAGCCATGAAAAAATATTAGGTGAATTGAAATTTCAGTAGTCAGAGAACCTCATGATCTCTCCTCCTCCACCTTACAAGTTAAACTTGGTGGTGGTCATTTTAACTACAAATATTTACCAAGAGCCTGTCACTGGTAGGCACCTGTATCAAACCCAGGCTTGAAATTCCCTGGTTTTCCAAGCGCAGATAATGAAATTGATTTCTAGGAAAGGGGGCTAGGTGGAAGGTTGCTGCTAGTTTTTTGGGGTATTGGATTTAATTAGCTAAAAGTTGGGGGAAAAAAACATTAAAAACTTCCTCTTCTGTACTACTATTTCCTTGACACAGCTGTAAACAAAACCCAGCATTTGTATTGTCACCAGAGAGCACAGCTGTATTGGTGAAGGGCCTTTACACAGAGGACAGCCATGACCCAGGGCACGGGCAGCTCTCGAGACCCTCCCACCAGTCCTGCCTCGTCACCTCCAGCTCAGATCATCGTCTGCCCCAACACTGCCGGGTCACCCGTGATCTGCAGCCCAGTGTCTGCGTTCTGGAGGGAGCACCCACGTCCTTGCTTCCCGGCTGCCGTCCCAGCCCCCCGCCCAGTGCTCAAGGAAATCCAGGAGGAGTGAGACTTACCATCAAGGCCAGCGTCCGGATCTCCTAAAAAACCAACAACACACAATCAGCTGAAGAGCAAATCAAGAGCCAACTGTTAAGGTTTGGTTCTCGCTGCACAGTCATGGAAACATGGGCGTTGGGCTCCTCAAAGGAGCATGGGAGGAGGGGGACCCTCACAGGTGGGCTCCACAGCCCCCAGACTCACCCCACCGCCACCCCCACCTCTCACTGAGGTTTGTAGTCACTGGACAGAAAATACACAGCATCTCCTAAGCATGATTATACTCCGAGGCTGTCCTACAAGGGACTCAGGCACCCCCTAAATGGACTACAACCTTTACTTCACTTTACAGGAAGGGAAGGAAGCACCACCTCTTACTGTTTCTAGTCACCTTCTGAGAACCTGCCCTTGGTCTTTCCTCTGCTCCCAGAGCCCAGATTTCAAGGCTACCACGCACCTCCCTTTAAACAGACACAGTATAGCAAAATACCGAGCCACTCAAAAAATAGATCAGAGAGGTGACTTTTGGCGTTCAAAGAGAATTTTACACCTTGTAAATGGAGTGACACATGGACACAGACTCCTTTGAAGAAGCGGTTCTTGAGTGGGGGCAATTTCTTCCCCCAAGGGACAATAGGTCGTGTCTGGAGACACAGTTTGTTGTCACAGCTGAGGCTGGGGTGCTCCTGGCATCTGGTGGGTAGACACCAGGGACGCTGCTCCACATCCCACAAGATACAGGACCATCTCTCCTCCCACCACAGATATTCTCCAGCCGCACATGTCAACAGTGCCAAGGCTGAGAAACCCTGCTTTAAAGTGTGGGGAGCAGGAACTCGTGAACTTGAAACAGGATTAAATTCACACTAAAGGAGATGTGTTCCAGGAAGATTTTCTGCCGTGTGAAAGGGGGTTAGGCATGCACTAAAGAAATGGGGCCCCAGTACCCTGGGTGGGCTGCACCCTGCACGGTGCCAGGATAATTCCACTGTGGCTCTCAGGTACCCAGAGGCAGGATAACTGGCCAGCTGGCCCCAGACAGAGAGCCAGCCACTTGGGGCCATTTGCCAGGAGGCTACACGGTGGGAGGTCAAAGAAGAGGCAGCGGCTCTCCTGGCAGCTCTGCCTGAGGGCCCGGCCACTACTCCGCAGTGTGGAAGAGCCCCCTGATCAGGGCATGGTGCAGAGCCCTGAGGCCCATGAGGATCTCGGCCTTGGGGCTGGACGCCCCACCCCGCTCACCTGGAGAGCCTCATTGATGTTTCCGTTGTAATCCACCATCTCTCCTTTTCCTGGTTCTCCCTTGGAGCCCTAGAAGGCAAATGAGATCTCAACCCAGGGCCTGGACCGGGAGGGCTGGGAGGGCAACTGTGGCCTGCTCCCTATCAGCCCACACTGGCCGCACCAGGCTGTTCACAGGTGGACCCAGAAGAGCCAGCGGGGCCCTGAGGATTCCGAACACTCTCAGAGGATGCTCGGGGACTGCAGAACAAATGGAGAAGACTCCATGTGAGAAGTCTGGGCCAGGCTGACCTGGGAAGTTTCAGTCCACCTAGGCTGCCAGTCAGACCTCCCACCTGACGGCCAGAATGCTCTTACCCTCCTTCCCCCTCAAGACCCCAAGGTACACGCCTGTGAAAGGAAGGTTAAAAACTCAGGACTCCAGTTCACTCTGGCAAAAGAGAAAAAGTTCAGCTGAAAGCTGAGTCATGCAAGAAGCTGCCTTTCCTTTTGTTCCTAAGCAGAGAGCTACAGACAAAGTTCAAATATCCCCACAGGTCGCTGCTCCATGCTCACCTTAGCTCATGTAAAGTGCCGATTTACTGAGCGTGAGGCTAATACATAACTGACTGTGCCCCTGCTTGCTGCTTTTCCCTGGCCATGTGCAGATTACCATACCCTTCTTCTTTCCCCTCCAGCCTGCTTTTCCCCTTTAAATTCTGAAGCCCTCTAAATCATCTTTGGCAAAAGGCACAGACCTGTACCTGTCTCTTGGGCACGTGCCCTTAATCTTGGCAAAATAAATTTCTAAATATTGAGACCTGTCTCAGAGGCTTTTTGATTTATCAGCTGGTTCATGCTATGACTCCAGTGGGGAGAGGCACATACCTTGGGGCCAGCTGCTCCCGGTTCTCCGGCTGCTCCAGGCTCCCCCTGTTGCATGAAAAATTGGAGTGAAGTGGGGATAAGGTTGGTACAGAGAACCTGATGTCCCCTGATAGTCCATGTGATAAGGGCCAGGAGGCTCATCTTAGCTCTTAGTCCACAGAAGAGCAGGTTCTGCCCCTTTGGGAGACATCCCGGGAACACCCACCCACACTCTTCTCTCCCTTTGAGCTCCTCTGGGCTGCCTCCCAATTCAGACTCAGTGACGTTTTTTTTCTGTTCCGTGTTAGTTGTTAGTGACTCCCCTTTGTCTCTCGCACTTTTCCCCAGTCCCCTAAGTCAGCTGCCTCCATGGGATCAGGGACATTTGCTTCTCCTTAATTCCATTCTGCTCAGGTATCCAGGGCTCAGCAACTTTTTGCCAATTGTCTGAGTGTCCGTTACTATTGAGAGCCCACGCGGTTCTTTAACTGCCCGCTCTGCTTGTGAAAGACCCAGAATGCTGAGTGAGACATGGAGGGTCAGGAAGGTCTCAGGAGGATATGGGTGTATGAGCACCCACCTCCTAGAGTGGGCGGGTGGAAGGATTTCTTCCTGTTGCAGACAGTACAGAGCTACGGGGAATAAATGAAAAAGCGGTGTAACTTGTGAAACACCAAGCGCAGTTTCCATTTTTCTGGGATAATTGAAGACAATTGACAAAAATCAAGTTAGAAAGTAAAAATAAACAAAACAGGAACCCTTTGGTGTGACTCCTGAAGACCCTGCTTATGGGACATGGGTCCGCTGCCGCCTCCCACCCTCTTTCTCCTCCACTGCCACAGCGCTTGAGTCACTGTGAACTCTTGAGGGACGCTGCAGCCTTTCATAGGGAGTAGCTGGAGAGAAGCGAGAGCACCTCGTTCACCAGTGGCTGAGGAAGCGCTGTGTCACTTCCCGGTCAAGTGTCCCATCCCTAGACTGGCTTTTGGACGGCTGCTGTCTCAGTGGATGGCTCTCTAAAGCTTGAGCCAACCAGGAAATAGGGAAGCCAGAGGTCATGGCCAATCAGCCTTGTGCTCTGAGGGCTAGCCCTAGGGTGGGCTGGGATGATTCCTGACCTCCCAAGCTGACCCCTATCTTGCAGCTCTGGAATGTGGGAGGGGGTGTCTCTGTACCTTGTCTCCTTGCTGCCCTGGGGGGCCAACCTGGCCATCGACACCTGCTTCTCCCTGGGGAGAGGAGAGAGTTGGGATGAAGACATGCTGGGCACCTGGACAGCTGCTTCTGGGGGAAAAGATGGCCTTGTTGGGTGTTGCCTGTGGGCCCCTCTGTTCCCACTGGCTTCTGCACCTCCCACTGGTCCACCTCCCTGACTCCTACCCACTCTTGGGCCCAGCCTGAATCTCGCTTCCTCTGGAAGCCCACCCCTGTTTTCCTCTCCCGCATTCTGTACCCTTTACTGGTGTCCACTCTGCCCTGCCAGACCCTCCTATGCCCATGCAGAGCCCAGCCCACAGCAGGTGGGTGTGGGAGGACTGCACCAATGCATTGCTCCAGATCGTGTAGAGTAATGCATGCTCTCCTACTGAGCTAACAAAGAGACCCCTTCATTTCTCAGTGCTGCTGAAGCAAACCAATAGGAGGCATCTACTCTGGGAAATCCAAATCTTACCATTGCATTTTTCAAGCAGCAGAAGGAAAGCGAGGGCCGTGCCCATTTGCAGCTGCCCCCACTGCTGCCACCTACCAGATGTGCTGGTACTAGGTGAGGCTCAGCTGATAATTGACCTGCAACCTACTCAGAGCCAAGGTGGGGGGCTTCTTGGCTGTCCTAAGGCCCTGAAGCCACTGGTTCCTCGCTCAGTTACAGCATAGCCATCGAGGACCTGCAGCCATTTGTCCTTGACTCAGTTACGGCTTAGCCACTGGGCCCGGGCTCAGCCACATCAGAGTCATCTGAGTCAATGGGACCATCCGTCTGCCCCATCTGCTTGGAAGCAGGACCTGAGTCCAAATGACCTTTTTGGAATCCATGGGGAAAACCACACACCTGGAGCAGGGGAAGGCTAGAGAAGTTGGGATGTCCAGGACGTAGAGTCCCCGAGAACAGGCTGAAGATAAAGGTCCGAGGCAAACACCTCCCAACACTCACTCCAGGGAACACTCACCTTTGGCCCTGGGGGCCCAGGGAGCCCTGGAGGGCCAGCTTCCCCTCTGCCTCCTCCAATGGAGTTACCAGCATCGCCTTTCTCTCCCTGGGGGTGGAAGGTGGAGTTAGCATCCCTGGTGTGGAGGAAGGTCTAGACTGAGCTCTGGAAGGACACTATGGGCTGTGGGCCCCAGGATGTCTGCGGACCAGGGGCCTTCAGAACCCCAGCCTGGTCTGATGCAGCTGTGGGATTTGAGGAGAGATTGGAAGTGTTTACTGAAGGGCAACAGGTTTAGAGCTGACACAAAGGACCCTTCACGGCTGGGTCCGCAGCAGTGTTTCTCAAAGTGTATTCCATGGAACACTGCTCAGTGGGTTAAGAACATTCAAAATGTGGAATAACATGGTTATTGGTGGCCAAACTATGTTAAGAAATGCAGCGTTAAATAAGGCTTTGCAGACGCTGTCACTGCAGGTGCTCAGGCCTCTACCAGGCTGAGGGGCACTGTGACTTTCCAAGGGGCCCATCTTATTATACACACCTCCCCTATCCTATTTGGCCTCATCTTTAAAAATTTTTTCTAAATGAAATATCTTAACAGAGCTCATGAACTGTGGGATGCATTTGCAGAAGTGGTACAAAGAAATCTGACCGGGTCATTGCTACCAAATTCTTTACATTTTATTTTTGCCAATCAGGGCCTGCCTATGGCACCTGTCCCCTGACAAACAGAATCTGGCTGTGTTCCAGCTGCCTTTCCCACAGTCTGGGAGACAGACACATCCAATGCTGGGGCTCGTGTGGATGTGCAGGGCTGTGTATGGGATGTGGGTGACAAATAATCTAAACCCTCCATTCAGAGCGACACCTACCTTCTGCCCCAAGAGGCCAGGAAGCCCAGGGGAGCCTGTAGCCCCCTTCTCACCCTGCAGGGAGATGCAGACAGTGGAGGTTAGGAAGAGTTTCTGCAGCAGGTTTGGGAAGCCACCAGCCCCACGGCTTAGGGCCTTGCCTTCCCTGGCTCCTGTCCCCTGCTCCTGCCCTAGCTGGCTTTCCAAAGAGCTCTACCTCCCCTCAGCCCAGATCCCGGCTGGCTACTTCTCTGGGCCACTTCGCACTGGTGACACTTGCATGACTGCTTTCCTCACTCCCATGTGACCCGGGCCCTTGTCACTCATGCTGGGGAGAAGTGACATGGGCCACAGATCATAACAAAGGCCAGAAGCATCTAGTGCGTCCTGGGGGTCTCCTGGGCCAGGCGAGCAGTGCAGAATGCCAGTGGTTGGGCAAGCAATTCCTTTTCACCACTCTGCTCTTCTTTAGATTCTTAATGCTTAGCAACTAAGGGCCCCCAGTCTTTTCTGGCATCCCCTCTCTGCCTCTAGCTATAACCAGCTCACTGTATTTTTGGACATAGGGTCATTGCAAATGTAATGCGTTAGGATGAGGTCACACTGGAGTAGGGTGAGACCCTATCCAACGTGCTGATGTCCTTATAAAAGGGAGAAATTTGGGCACAGACATGCACACAGGGAAATGCCACGTGGGGATGGAGGCAGAGATTGGGGTGCTGTGTCTATAAGCCAGGGAATGCCAAAGACTGCAGCAGGCACCAGAAGCCAGGAGAGAGGCCTGGAGCAATCTCCTCCTCGGCCCTCAGACAGAACACACCCTGCTAACACCTTGCTTTTGGACTTCCAGCTTCCAGAACCATGGGACAATGAATTTCTGCTGCTCGACCACCCAGCCTGTGGTACCACAGCCCTAGCAAAATAGTACACTTCCCTACCCAGCTTCTTCCACTATGGAAGAACTCTTTTTTTTTCCCCCCATGACATGAATCAAAGAGTCCCTTAGAGATACTGAACCCCATTCTCATTTCACAGATTTGGCGAGGGAAGCCCCAAGAGGTTATGTGGCCAACCCCTTACTGAGTCAGTGGCAGAGGCGGGTCGAGCCCCTGTCTCCTGGATGTTCCGCCTTCTAGGACACAAAGGCTTCACAGAGCATCTGTCTCGGTCAGCTCAGGAGCCATAACAAACTCTGTAGTCTGGGTAGCTTTGCCAGCAGAAACGTATTTTCTTGCAGTTCTGGAAGCTGGAAGTCTGAGATCAGGAGCCAGTATGGCCAGGTTCTGGTGACAGCCGTCTTGCTGGCTTGAAGACGACAGCCTTCTTGCCATGTTCTCACAACAAGGTCGGTCTTTCAAAAGTCTCTCTCTGGTTCCCTTTTTCTAGGGCTGCCAATCCCATTGGATTAGGGCCTCACTCTTATGACCTCATGTAACTTTAATGACCTCCTTAAGTCCCTATCTAAATACAGCCACACTGAAGGCGAGAGCTTCAACATATGGGTCTGGGAGGGACATATTCAGTGCATAGCAGTGTCCAATATCAGGTGAGCGCCCAAGAGCACCCCACCAGCAGGGCGGGGGTATCAGGTCAGTACAAGAACCTTTGCTCCCCTTGGCCCTGGGGAGAGGCAGCTCTCTGCTATAATAATGTGAGCTGAGGGCTCTGGGCTTATAATTTGGTCAGATGTCTCAATGAACATTCCAGCTGGAGCCACAAAAGGTGCCAAACTGTCTTTGGGTGTCGCCTCCTTGCCACCTGCCCCGGGGTAGCAGATGAACGGTAAAGTGGCCCAAGGCTGGCCAGGAGGTGTTGTGGAGGGCCAGGTGGAGGTCTCGGCGACGGGAGGGAGCCCCCGCTGCCCTGTCTTTCCTGGGCTGCTCCTGTAGATGCGCTTATTCTGGGCATCCTTCAGAAGCAGGGCAGGTGGAGAAGGAAAGGATTCGGGTCCTGACCTATGGAGATCCTTGGGGAGCGGGAGTGGAGGGAGGCAGTTTCCTCCTTCTGCTGGGCTTCCTGCTGGGTAATCAAGGCTCCCGGGGACAGTGGGTATGCTCTTGAGTGTGGGTTTCTGAAGCTTGGCCAGGCCGTCCCGCCACTCGCCTCATTCCAAGACACATGCACCAACAGCATGCTGCAGGCGACACACCAGCCAGAGGAGGGGCAGGGAGCAGGGGACCGGCGAAGCCAGGACGAGGGGGCACACGCTCAAATACATGATATCCTACCCTCTGCCCCCTTTTTCCCAGCAAACCTGGGGGCCCCGGCTTCCCTTCTGCTCCTGGGTCTCCCTTTGGGGTAAGAAGAAAAAGTCACTGATAAGAAGGTGGGGCAGGGAGTAAGGGGTAGGATGGGCAGTGATCATTGACCAGCATTTCCAGAATACTTGTCCCTTAAGCTCTTCTCTAAAAAAGGGTGTTCTGCTGAAAAAAGTTTTGAAAATGCCACTTAAGAGATTTCCTTTTGAGAGTTCCTCAATGCACATTTAGCAAATTAAAGGTTCTGAGAAGGTCTGCAGCAAAGGAACCTGTGCAATATGTTTAACCTAGTATGTCTCAAAATTTTTTGACCATGGAAATTTTTTTTCTTGTCACATCTCTTATTGTCACACAAGAAAGAAAGGGAGACCTGAAGGTGCAGGGGACAAGAGTCACTGCCTGCTGCAGCTGGCGTGCCTGCAGGCCAGGACCCAGGGAGGGGGAGGCATTTGCAGTGTGTTCCTGACCAGTGGGCCCTTCTCTGCTCAGCCAGGTCCCCAGCCCCAGGCCAGCCTCACGGGGACTAAGAGCAAAACAGCAGCAGCCCCTCCCACCTCTGCCCCATGACTGATGCTCCGCACAGCTCGGAACATTCTCCCTATATCAGTACCTTGGTTCCTGGGATCCCTGGCTCACCCTGTATGGAAAAAGAGAAACAAATGTGAGAGACTATAAAAGCAGAAAGAAATGACAAATGAGCAAGGCACCTGTTGGTTGTTGCGGGGAGAGTCAGGGTGGGGTTAGTGAACCATCTGGCCAGCCCTGGCTTTTCTCTGTTCAGGCATCAGGCCCCAGGCCAAAGGAGGCCTATCAGGCTTCTGACCCTTAGAGGGTCCTACTCTTCCCCGAGTTGAGGGGTGTGGCAGGTGGGAGCGTAAGAGAGGCAGCCCGGGAGGAAGGAGAGGAAGGAATGGGTATTTGGTTTGGACATGGTACTCCCTGCAAGTGGACCTGCCGTGAAGATCACCTTTGAGCACTTGCTTTCCCAGGCAGTCCTCACATCTGCCGGCCAACCAAATGGGCAGTTAGGGTGGGGGTTTGGAGAAGAACTCCTGCTGTCTCTGAAGCTTTGGAAACACATAGCTGCTGAATTACAAAACACAAAGGAAAGATCTGCCTTCCCACTGCCTTGCCGCACTGGCAGGCTAGTGGGAACTTCCGTGGAGGCAGGAAACCTTTGCTACTTATTTGCAAGGCTTAGTTACACATCTGTGGCTCAAGGTTATGCACCTGGCACAAATGTTACTTTGAGAAAAACGTTTCCAAATCCTGCCTGCTCCCTCTTTGGTCTGGTAGTTATCCCACTGAGCCTACGATTCCCAGCTCTGACCCCTCACATCTCTCCCACCTGTCCCTGATGTGTTGGTTGCAACAGTCCACTGACCTTCATCCCAGCCACAGCAATTCCGGGAGTCCCCTGGAAGACAGAAAAAAAAAAAGTCTGAAGATGTTCTGCAGCAAGGGAATAGCGGGGCGGGGTGGGGGTGGGGGATTGTGGAGCAGTGGACAGCCTCCCCATGGTGAAACGGGAAGGAGGACTACTCACTCACTCCTCCCAACCCCGCAACCACCAACTCTGCCCTGGGAGGTGCAGGCGCTGAGCTGACACCTTGCGAATGGATCTGGAGGAAGGGGCTTTGTACAGCTCAGCCTGTGGGTCTCCCTGGGCTTCCCAACCACCTGAGCAGCTCCTCTCCTGGGCGGCACAGCAGGGAGTGTGGGGCACTAGATGGGGCTGGAAGGGGGAGCTTCATCGGAATATGAGAGGAGGAGATGGGATGGGAGAGGGCAGGAGGATGGAAAGCCATGGGAGAGCGGAGCAAAGTAGGTGACAAAGTAAAGGTGCTGATTTCACCAGGGACAGCCACCCCCAGTGTTTGACATTACCCTCACAGCCAGCTCTGTGCACAGACTGCCCTCACAGACTGCGGAGTGGCTGGAGTGAGTCCTGTTTTCATATCAGCCCAAGGCCACCTACTTTGAAGGACATATGATGCCCAAAGTGCCCCTTAGCAAATCCCAAGTGGAGGTGATTTGGGGGATCCTTCCTCTCCACTTGGGTTTTAGGAATGCAGTGGAGCTAGGGGTACTTGGGATGGCTTTTAATGACCCAGAGATGCCCAGGAGGAGGCTGCCTACATCAGGGGGCACTCATGAGAGACCACAGTGCTGCAGCTGGGAGGGCCAGGGCAGGCAGGAGGAGGCCCAGAGAGCTGGGACTCCAGAGGGTCCCCAGACCTGAGGAGAGAGGGGGTAGGGTCTTTGGGCTGCCTGAATGTGGGGAAGGGGAAGGTACCTTGGCTCCAGGCTTGCCTGGCATCCCTGGCATGCCCCGTTCTCCCTAGAGGACAAAATAAGAGAAAGGATGAGGAGAGGACCAGACTCAGGGCCCGTCAGCCCGCAAGGATAGGGGTGAGAATGGCTAGTCTGGAGGCTGGGATGGCTGTTCCTTTCATGCTGAGTGCTGAGGACCTTACCCTGGCGGCAGCCATGTGGGCCCTTGCCCTCATCTATGTGAACTTGCAGGAGGGCCCAAGTTACAGGTCACAGAGCAGGAAAGGCCCCCAGAGAGAGAGGCCCACCTAGAGGAATGCAAGTTCAGCAAGGGAAGGTGACTTGCTCGAGATCTACCTACCACTCCATGGTTGAGAGCTGTACCTGGATCTGGGCTGTGGGGTGGGACCAGGGGCAGGAGCCCCTCATTGGTCGCTTACCTGCTGCGTACCTTCCCTCCGTCCCTGCCTCCTTTTCACTCCAGCAGCTTTGCTAGGATGTTACCTTCTGGCTGAGCCAGACAGGGGCTCTCTTCTCTCTTCATCTGGGGTTCCTTTCCCTTCCACGTCCCCAGGGTCTAACTTCCCAAAGGCACGTGCCCCTGCCTATTTCTCTGCACCCTATTTCTGACCCTACTTGTCCGGGGGCATAGGTAGGGTCACCTGTCCTCTGTTGCTTCTCTGGGATAGCGTGGGCTCTGCTCTACCATCTTGACACTGCCCCATCTTTATGTTCAACCTCTTCTCTTTTTTAAAGATGGAGTCTTGCTCTGTCACCCAGGCTGGAGTGCAGTGACGCCATCTCAGCTCACTGCAACCTCTACCTCCTAGGTTCAAGCAATTTCCCTGTCTCAGCCTCCCAAGTAGCTGGGATTACAGGTGCACACTACCACGTTCAGCTAATTTTTGTATTTTTAGTAGAGATGGGGTTTCATCATATTGGCCAGGCTGGTCTCAAATTCCTGACCTTGTGATCTGCCCGCCTTGGCTTCCCAAAGTGCTGGGATTACAGGCTTGAGCCACTGCCCTCAGCCCATGTTCAACCTCTTTACCTCCCCATGAAAATGCCAAATCTATGAGAGCAGGGTCAGATCAGGAAGGAGGACACACCACAAGGAGGTGGAGTTGGAGATGACAGCCAGTGACAAATGGGAGGCCAAGAGCAGGTAAGTCAGGACTATCGCTGGCTACATCAAGGGAGGAGGGAGGGCAGCTCCTGGCTCCATGAGTTGAATCCTACGATTGTGCCTAAGCACGAAGCCCTAGCTGGGGCCCGGGATGGTGTCCAGCAACAGGTGACAGTGGCCAGCCTGCTGCGCTTCCTCCATCTGAGGGCCAGCACTGTGGATGGGCAATACAGAGGCTGACAGTCCTGCTCCCAGCCCAGATGCCCCATTGGGTGTGACTGCTGTGGCTGCCAGGCCAGGCTGCAGTTCCCATTGGCTTAAAGGCAGAGGGGACCTGGCGTGCCCTGGCTTCCCTCTTGGCTGTCCACGCTTTCCCTTGCCTGCCATCTTCCAGGAGGTTCTGGTCCACCCTCCTTGCCAAGGCTAGAGTCCTTCCACCCTCTTCCTCCATGATGGGTCTTCTATGGAAGTGTCCACTTCGGCTTCCTAACACACAGGCTGGATAGCGAGACCTCTGCCTTAAAACATCCCTGGCCTGGTGTTGACAGTGGGAAAAGGACCAGGTTCCTGAGCATGACGTTCTGACCTCTGCTTCCTTTCCAGCCTCATCACCTGATATGGGGTGCATCAATTAGTATCTGTGTCCCTGAAAACACCCCCAATTTCCATGGTTCTGTCTTTCTACCATTTCTTCAACTTAAAACCCTTCATCGTTTGGAGTCTTGGTCGCTAAGGCAGCCAGAGCTTCTCTGGTGCCCTGGGCTGGACTGCCCTCACACACTGACCCCCGCGCCCCTGTGGACCACAGACCTGAGGGCCTCTGAGTAGAGAGTGGCTCTGCCCAGCTTTCAGCCTGCAGAGGCTGTCTGATGGGAGTGGGGCCCTTGGATCTCTTCTTTGAAGCTTTTGGTATCCCCTCTAACCCAGCACTGCCTCCTCAATGCGGCAGGGACCACTTAGCATTTGTAATCCGCACACACAAATTTATGTCTGCCTGATATGGCTTCACCTTTATCCTCTCTGGGCCAAGTCTCTACATTCTACAAAAGGCCTAGAATCTTTAGTTCCCAATGCCAGCGCCCTCTCTCAGCCTGACCCCACCAGTGACCCCTGAACCACAGGTGAGATGGCAGAGTTAAACTCAGGAAGTGATCATGGCAGAAAATCCAGTGCTCCAGACCTGCCCTAGCCATTAATTTCCTTCTTGCGGGACTGAGAGAGAAGGGCACAGCCATTTACTGCAGCTGTCACTTGTCTGCACTGGGCTGAAAAGCTTTACAACCTTCCTCTATTGCATCTCCCACAATCCCTTCCAGTGTGGCAGTGGACATTACTCTTGTTCCACAGGGAAGCGAACTGCGGCTCCCAAAGCCCAGGTATGATTGCCAAGGTCATGCAGCCTAGGGCTTTGGCTAGTTTCTTGTCTGTTATGCCAAGGTGCTCATTTCTCTCAGCCAACCCAAATATTAGATGGACTAATGCTCTATCTGCTTCCATCAAACAGCCTTTGCAGGCTGAAAGCAGAGTAGAGCCTCTCTTTGCTTGAGGAAGTCCTTAGGTCTGTGACCTATAGGGGTGCAGAGGTCAGTGTGTGAAGGCAGCTCAGCCGGGTGCCCAGAAAAGCTCAGGGTGGGGCACTGCCTGTGTGCACAGCTGCTCTGTGGCCGGCAGAGGGCGGGGCAGCCCCTCTTCTGAAATCTGGCCACTCCGGCCACAGCGGTCTCCAAGCCCTCTCAGTCGCACCAGCTGAGGGCTCCTGTCATTCTTTCCTTTGGAGGGTCCCCGCTAACATTCTGAATGAACAAACCAGTTTGACTGAGTACTGAGGCCCCACAGTCCCCTGTTGTGGGTGCAGGTGGGAGGTCAGCTTGAGAGTCCTTGACTATTCAGAGCCCCTCCTCCCCCATCATCCCTCTCTTCCAGTTTCTCTGTCTTTTCTCTTGCTTTTCCCCAACGCCCCCACCCTCCTCTTCCCACCTCCCAGCGGAGCCTGGCTGGGAGTGCATGTGACCACGGATAAGCCACTTTCTCCCACTGGTTGCAAAGTGAGGTTAGATCAGATATCTCCCATCCACTGCCGCTCCTCGGCCTCTTCCCGCCCACCCTAGCCCTGTCTCTGCTCGCCTGCATGGCCCTTAGGAAGGGGAGAGGCCAAAGCTGGAGAGGTGGCACTTGGCTTGGTTGGCAGCTCCAGAAAAAGGCTCTGTGGAAGAGGGACTGTTGGCTTTGGTTAAAAATGCAGCTCCAGGAGGGGGCTCGGTGGGTCTCTGCTCTCCCCTCCCCCTGTCCACAGGGGTGCTCCTGCAGGGAGGAGGTGGGGTCTGCTTCAAGCTTGTCTCTGAGCTTCTGGAAGAAACTGTGCAGAGCAAAACCCCGGAGCGTGAGGGTCTCCAGGCTAATTGGGGTTGTCCTCAGCCCCTGTTGATGTGAGTGTGTAAAGACACAATCAGGCACTCAGGGGAAATCAGAGCCCCGGGAGCCTCCTCGGGAGGCAGCCCTCCTTGTTAGGGTGGCTGACCTTCGCCCCTTCCTTCCCGTCTGGGTCAATTCTCTTAATTCTGCAAATGACCCAGGCTCCCCTGATCCCCACGGCAGGGCCTCCCTCCCTCCACCCCCTTGCTGGGCAGGAAGCAGGGGCGCCCCCACTGGCCTCCCCCAGCTGACCTCACTCTGCCGATCACTCCACTCTCATTAGGCTCACTCCTCGGGGCTTGTCTCCAGGGACCTGCCCCTGCCTGACCTCTGGACTGGGGAACCGGGCTTCTCCTAAAGCAGAAAACATTGGTTCCTGGATGATGGGTGAGGTGAGAGTCATTATCAAGGACTCCAGCGTCGCTGTGGCCAGGACCATGGGCAGGAGACAGGAGGCGAGGCGAGGCGGGGCGGGGTCGGGGTGGGGGTGGGGGTGGTTATTGCCAGAGGAGAACAGTGGCCCGCCTCTGTTCAGAGGGCTGCTCCTTGGGGCATGTCTTTGTGAGAGCCTGTCTAGAGGCTCCTTCTTTTCTAACGCCTCTCTTAGGTTTTCCTATTTGAAAAGTTTATTAGGAATTGTGCTCAGTATACATCCAATCACTCATTACTGTCTTTGTTTTTGGAGGACCTGCCTCTCTCAGTCCAGCAAAGTCCATAGGCCTCGATTTACCTCCTCTACTTCTGCCCCCCTCATCTTCCCAGCAGGGACTCAGAGGTTCCCCTGGGGGCTCTCAGCCGCCTTACTTGGGCTGGGCAAGCGGGTGCTCTGAGCCTCACAAAAGGTCTCGGCCATGTGCATGGAGTGATGGCAGAAACATCCAGCCACCCCTCTGCAAGGCTGGCTTTTTAGCCTCAGTGCCAAGGACCAATGCAGGAAGGGGTAGATTGTCGTCACGGTGGCCGAGAAGGCCCTGGGGGCGCACAAGCAGGTAGAGAGGCATTTGCTTTGAATGACTTTAAAGGCCTGTCCCATCCCTGACTTTGAAGCTGCTACTCAGACTCCCCACCTGGGCCCTGCACCTGAGCACAACACAGCAGTGATCGGTCCTCTGTTCTGGCCCTCGCTTCCGGGTGGGAGGATGCATCCTTTACAGAGATGATGGAATGGAGGCGAGCTCTTTGGAGCATAAGCCAGCCACGCTCGGATCCTGTGGGAGTGGTGATTTACTGTTGGTTGAACAAGCGGAGCAGAGACTTGCCAAGAAAGCACAGTCTGGAGGGAGAAAGGGGGCTTCAAGGTCAGCTCCCAGCCAAACCAAGGTCAGGGCAGGGAAGCTCGGGGAAATAAATGCATCTCCCTAAGACTGGGCCGAGGTTCTGCCGAGGCCAGGTCTGGGTTGGAAAGCCCTGGGCGAATGCATCTGGGCTCACAGGCTCTTTGTTCTCTGCAGGGGAGGAGGAAGGCCTGCCTGAGAGTGTGGGGAGTTTGGGGGTGGGGAAAGGGGGCAGTCGGTGGACGGCTCAGGCCT